TCTCGTTAAGGGATGGGAAAAATCGAACCATGATGGCGATTTTGGGATGTACCGGGTATCACGGTAATCCTGAACCTCTTTGACGTTAGTGGGGCGAGATGATTGCTCGGGGGAAAGCGTCAAAGTCTAAAGAGAAGGCCAGCTTCCTAATGTTCAGTCAAACAGACGTGGACGGAAGCTCAGACCGTTTGGAAGGAATATTGGTCCCTACTCAGCGCCCGCTCTCCCGCTTCTTGGCAAGGCACGAAGGACGCAGAGGAGGGAACCAAATCTTAACGGTTTCGCGGGCGCGCGCCTTGTTTCGATGGGACGAGGTAGGTATGAAGTCGAAAAAGGCCCCTGAGGGGGGCCTGGAGGTGGGAGCCGACGCGGCGAGCCTCAAGGCCCCAGAAGCCCCCCCTTCAAGCTTCCGGGGGCGGGATCATGGATGGCCGATGGATGACCCGACAGGATGTGTGAGTGTGATTCACGGGTTGTTTCTGCGCCAGTCATTTTGGCATCTCCGCTAGACGCCGCCTTGTGGCCTTCCGGGCTGGCACCGCTAGGCTTTTGGTGGCTTTTCTTTGGCGGGATTAGCAGCACATGGAGGAAGAAAGACTTTGGGGAGAGATAGAGGCAGAGAACGAGCTGAAAAAAAGAGGGCTGAAAAAAGCTCGTCGAAATTGAGATCTGCGTGTGCGACGTCGAGCAGGCAATATGAATCGCATCTTCTCTGCTACCTATCTTTCTATTCTCGCGTTTTCTTTGTTCGTGTTCTTTTGGTTTTTTCTCCCCGGTGCATGGGGGTACGGAATTATACCTAGCAGGTAAGGTAAGGTAGCACGTAGGGTAGGTTTTATTCTTAGAAGTCGGGGCTTATTTGGCGTGGGGAAAGAAAGACAATCACCTACCCTTAGGGCCCTAGGGACAATCGAGAGTCGAGAAAGTCGGACTCGCGCCGTTCGGTTCATTTTCCCTTTCGCTTGTTTCCGGCAACCAGCTTACCCCCCGTTCTGCGGGTTCGCTTTCGGATAGGTTCCGAGGAGGTCGAGCTGCCACGGCCGTCGCCCACCCTACCTTAGGCTGATTACTGCATTGATAAACGCAAAGTCCTCCGAAAATTTCAGCAAAAAATAAGCTCAAATCCCCGATGGCACAATTGGCTAGCGCGTCAGACTGTTAATCTGGAGGTTGGTGGTTCGAGCCCACCTCGGGGAGTTACAGTGGTTGAATTCCACCTTCGCATTGGGCGTTTCTCTTTTGCAGTTCCGGCGCAAAGCTTATTGCTATTTGATTTTTGCCTGATCGTTCATGCTGAATGATTGAACGAACGAAATTGCCTCTGTTTTTGTCAAAGTCGATAGTAGTGGTGAGGCTGTAGTGTTTGCCGCAGCAACATTGTAACGAGACTCAGTGATTCGGACATGTCGTCCTTGAGGTAAGCGCAATACCCTTATTGTCTGTAGACTGAGCTTCGAAAATAAACCGTTCTCTTGAATTCGAGCGCTCCATCCATATGGCTGCTATTCTCATTCTATCTTTCACGCCATGGAGTTGAATGATAGGTGAAGCTGGCCACTTACAGTAGACAGAAACCGCATCACGGTTCGCGGCTGTTGCGCAAGATATTGAGCTTCAACTGCCTAGCACCTCTCTCGGTTCGCGGCGTCGGGCACGCGTATTCGTAAATGTAAACTTCGAAGTTGTCTCTGACTGATCGCTTTGTCCATGTCATGAGAAGAATCTTATATGTTGTAGCCGCGTTTAAACAGGCTGCCTTTTCTAAATTGACTCATTGACAGGACGAAATTCTTGTATCATTAGTGACAGCACATTGTGAAGAGCTATTGGCCTTGCGCGATACGCATCGGCATGCTGTGTTTTGGAAGATAAGTTACGCCTGTAGCTTACCAAGTACCTTTGAACAGTAACAGATAGCCTCGTTCTCACTTCAGGGGGGGCATGTTGTCAAGTGATGAAATACAGCAACCTCAGTGATCAAGCCCAGCTTACTCAGTTGAACGGACCTACCGGAGCTTTCTTCATGACGAACATTAAATCTTAATGCGGCAGATAAGATACTGCCATCGGCAGGATAACGCTCAAAAAATAGAAAATGAAAGGCTATGGCCCGTATCATCTTGTCTTCTGCCAACTGTCCGAACCATGATGGTGCCCAACTCGTTCTCATCTACGCATGTAAAAAGGTTCCCAGTGACTGAGGTATCGCCAGCTGTCGCCCTTAGTTCGTCCTCCAGTAGAAGATCTAGAGACTGATGACAACAAAAACGGACTACTCTTGCTCAGCTTTCTGCAGCATCAGCCGTTCAGAGGCTTTCTTCCGTAAATAGACCAGCTATCAAACGTCAACAAGAAAGCTTCCAAGGCAAGGGGATTGATTTTCACTCACACGTTGAAGTAAGCGTGGATCGTTCTATCCGACAAGTCCCTCCGCGCCTCCATGATATGCACGAGGGCCTCCTCCCTCGTCCAGTTGTGCGCGCGCGTCAGGGGCGCCATCAGGAAACCCTCCCAGGCGAGCGAGACGTGCTCGTAGCTCCACGCGCCGAGGTCCTTGTAGTGAGGGTCCTTGGGCCAGGTGTTTGTGGGCCACTTGTATTTGAGAATGTGAACATCCTCGAAGCCGACCTCTTCCATGAAGTCCTTGAGGCGTCTCGTATCCTCGAACGGACGACCAAAGATCTCGGCGGCCGATTCCCAGAGGCGTACGCTCTTCATGAGCGCCGAGTCATCTTTGAGGGTGCCGTCGTCCGATAAGGGCACGATGTTGCCCTCGTTTGCCTCCAGGTATCCTCCGGGATTCAAATTGCTGAGAATTCATACGTCAGGGTACACCTTCATGAGATGTCATAGGGAGACTCACTCGTAACACTGCTTGAAGAGCTTCTTCCAATTGGAAATACTCCACGTCATCATTCGACTGTGGATGTAATCGAAGCGGTCCGAAAAGATCCAAGGTTCTTCAACATCGTCGATTTCGAAGCGGACGTTGGGCGGAACGCTGTCACCCAGCAGTTAGCCTGTGATACATCGTTCCATCAACACGGGGTCAAACACACAAGTCTGGCTGCGCGGCAGAAAGGTCGACACCGAGAATCTACCCCGCAAATGAATCAGTACAAGGTCAATGCCATGGTCATTCTCATGCCGAGTTATCTTTACCTCAGCTTCGGGGTGCTCCTCGCCAAAGTCAATGGCCCAGATACCGCTGCCCGTCCCAATGTCTAGGACCCGTCCGACCTTGGCTCCCGGATCGGTGGGCGGAGCGTTTCCCAGTCGACCTCGGAAAGTACGGACGAACAAGTTGTGTTGAACATCTGGCCAGCGGTCTTGTCAGTGTCATACGTGCGTGAGGAAAGAGGCCGAATAATACACACCAAGTCGCTCGTTTTCTCTTTCGTCATTCGGTATCCAGTATTCTAGGCTGGTCAGATTGCGCTGCATGCCATCGGCATTGGCTGAGATATGAACTCACTGCCGTCCTTGTATTTGTGATACGTTCTTCCATTCTCGGTTCTATAGTCGAGGATAGAACTGCTCAGACTTGTCGTCGAGGACGCGATACTCTTCTCACTTGGTGAGAACTTCAAGCTGGCGACCTGGGGTTGGAAACAAGGCTTCATATACTCACCTGGTGGACGGAAGAGCTGTCATCTGTGAACTAGAAGAACAACACATTAGAATGTGAACAGTCTTAGATTCCGGTCGCATTACCTCCTCGGCCGCAATCACAACACCGTGTTCGGTCTCAGTCTCGGGCTGAGGCTGAGCCGCGGGCTCAGCAGTCGGCACGCTGGCTGGCGCTTGGTTCGTGGCACTCATCGTGAACCCCTTTTTCTTGGTGAATTGCTAGTGCAAGGTGGTACTTTGGTACGACGATGAATACTGTGACGCTCTTGAGATAATCAAGCTCGGCAATTTTCGACATTTTATCACGTTGCAAAGTGACATGTCCATCTTGTTACCCCTCTCCTTGGCTGGAGACAATTATGCAGGTTTGCAACCAACAGGCCACTTTCACGACAAGGATCCGGCCGCGTGGAGACGTTACCTGCAGATAGGGAACATGCTGCATGTTGGAAGAGGATATGAGTCCCGTGAGAGGCTTTCCAACGTCGGTAATATGGCCGCGTCGTTGCTGTTGGTTATTGGGAAATCTACCAGCCTGTTGAAATACTATCCCCCACTAGGAAGGAGTGTTGTTTGTGACGCGGCACAGTGGTGCATCTTTTGCATTTACTACTATCCCTTCTTTGAGCTTATAATCCGTTGCATCTTGATGTTTTCCTTTGGAGTGTGCGTCACGGGCTGGTGTCCCCTTCTGGGTCCAGTGTGTTGTCCTGCCGCGCTTCCAACGTCTCCAGTGAACCTGGATGCAGGATGTCGGCAGCAGGCTATTCTAGACCTTGTCCAGCGTGCGATTGCTGCTCTTCTGTCTAGTGATATGTGATTGATGCGTCCAGTAGAAGAGGCACCAGCCTGTCGAGTGATGAGACCGGCAATCCAGTACTGAGACCAGAGGTACAGGAGTGCGATTGTCTATCGTAAAAAACATATCATGCCATGTAACTTCAAGTAAGCCTCGGGATTGTGTGCCGTGCTTCTTCCCGGGTGACGACATTCCATACGCACCTCTTGATTTTGGCATGAGTAGGTAGCCATTTGGGACGAACGAGTAATAACCACCTCATATCGGATATCTGGGGAGAATTGAGATTCCACATAATTTAGTCACTCAAACAGTATAAAAGTATTAGGAGGCTGCTAGTATCCTAGCCTCCTTGATGAGATATGGCGGCTACGACTGTCTTCTTGTTTGTTGACGAGCTGCCTAAGTTTCACTGGAACCTTGATTCGGCTTGTCATTTGCGGAAAGATTCGACTTACACCATGTCACCATAGGAACTAGGACGACATGGAAGCTCGTCAAGAGGCTCACTGTTGTTATTACTTAGACTGATGAATATTGTAGATAACTATCTTCTACAACACCCGCAAGATGGTCTTCGTACGATAGCAGATGGCATTTCGGCACCGGTATCATGAAACAAGCCCCGTTCGCTTCTCAGCATTCGGTTCATTATGCTCGGATACTACGCATACCAGATTGGCTGATCACCTCTCCCCTTACCGACTCACCGTCTACAAGCTCAGCTTCGGAACGATATCCACAAAGCCAAAGCCCTTCTCTTGGCCGAAAAGACTCCCTTCCGCCTCCACGACTCCGCTGTAGAACCTACCCGCGCCTGAGCCCTTCTCCTGATCCTGGCGAATGCTTTTGATGGAAAGGGAGTCACCATTGTCGAAGGAGAGCTTCCAGTCCTGGGCGTACGTCGTGTTCGTGACCGGGGATGTCCATGTCGTCGCGTTTCCCGGGGTCATCTTGAAGCGAACAAGATGAAGCCCGTCCTCGGCACGAATGGTAGCGAAGCGCAGCTGCTGACTAGGCTCTGCGGTGTTGGAGTACCAGATACTGGCTCTGATGCCGCCAGGGAAGTTGAGTCCGAACCAGGTGAAGTTGTTGGGGCCGCCAACGCCGTGCTGGCGATCGTACCAGGTCAAGGATCGCGTGGGGTCGATCTCGAGTGCGGTTCCGTTGATGGTGAAGGAGCCCTGGGTCTTGCAGCTCGGCAGCGACCATTGCGTGGTGGTTCCGGTTCCCCAACGGAAGCGACCGACGCCGCCGTTGAGTATGACGGGCGAGGAGGCGTCAAAGGTGAGGTTGAACGCGTATGTGTCGTACTCACCCCACGTGTTTAACGACGAGAAGCTGTCACTGGAAGCACTCTTGAAGGCAGAACCATCGACTTCAATGTCGAGCAGGCCGTTCTTGATCGTCAGGTTTCCCTGCAGCGGTGCGAGGCCAGCCGTGAGCCAGTAGTTGCTGGTGTCTTCGAGATCCAGAATTGACGACTGGAAGATGCTCTGACCGGTGCCGGTTGGCATCTGCTGAGACATTATTGCATACTGGCGGTCATTGGAAGCTGTGACGAAGGATGCGGCCCAGTAGGAGTTTGATTGTTCAGAGGCTAGTTGAGACTCCTGGAAGGAGTAGAGAGTTGGCAAGTTCGACTAGATGGACTAGTCTTCAGCACTGATTTCCTTACTTTCTTGCATTGGATAAATTTCAGAACAAATGAAAGGATCGTATCTTACCCCGAGACTGTCTATACCTGTGGTATCGGGTACGATGTCGAACCTCACAGCGGAGGTAGCTCCAACCAATAGTGCCCAGCAGCCGCTACTAAGACGTCCCATCTTGCTGCTGCTCTGAAGCCGAGGCGAAAGGATATGAGAGGTTCGGATGATGACGCTGAAGCACCCTGGAGATTGGTTGATTGGTGGAGAGAGGTAGAGTGAAGGGAAGCATCGAGCCAGAAGGGCCTCTTATAGTTAGCAAGAGTGAATACTTCGGACTTCTCACATCTTTTATGGAAGGAAAATGGGGAACCTAAAGTGCCAAGGAGTTCAGAAAACTCTGGCAACATTCGGTGGCAGGGCTATAGAGACTCACAACTTAAAGGCGCTACCCACAATCTTAGACAGGCTCGTTGGGTCTCCGTTGACGATGGGCCATACGCTCAAGTTTGTTACCTACTTAGGCCTCATTTCGAAATTGACTCAGCTCCATCGAAACGGCGATCACAAATCATGCTCACGTTGTGTAAGCAGGAAAGACAGGCTGTGCGCATTTGACTAATGTAAACAATACGAGTAGATAGATCTTCTCACTGGGGACGGAATCTCGTCGGACTGCATGACGTTTCCCCCATCAACGGAAGCCGGATTCCTGAATCGGGCCCGCGACGGTGCCGACCACCGAGCTCCATGCCGCGTCTCTCACACTCCTAGTGGTAATAAGCCACAAAGACGGGGTCGGCACTTATAAGATCCCTTGAGGGAATTGCCTCCCAGGCTGCCAGGCCCACAGCCACCCAAGCCACTTTCGTTTGTAAACAGTAAACCTCAGCCCGATGTCACTCAAACGTGCAAGCTCCATAGAAGTTTCCGCTTGCTTGATTGCATAGATTGCGTTTCGTTACTACGTAGTTGACGGTCTTCTTTGTGCAGTCTGAGCTGTGTGGAATCGTAAGGGAGCATACTTCACTCAGCCACGTTGCAGCCCAAAAATTACGTGCGCGGCGTCCCAAGTTCGCCAAGTTGCTTCAATCCGAACTGAAGTCTCGATGGTCGAACGACAGGCAAAAGACCGAGCTCTTGTCAAAATTTGGACGAAGTTCATCCGTAGACGTAAGCACTGTCAAGACTCAAGAGTCTCCGTCAACAAATCCTGGTGGCAAACAGTGGAAAAGACTTCCCAAAGCGGACTTGGTTTACCGAAGACTGTGGAGCCTCCCGTCGATCAGAAAATGCTCCCGAAACTTTGACCTGGAATACCCCTTTAACTTCCCCTATCAAAATGCGAGCTGAATGACTAGTTACCCCAGATTATGCATATCGAGGCGGCTGTCATCCTTGGACGTGGAACTTCTCGCGAACGCAATCATGAAGGGCCTCTAAGGCCCCGAATCCCGCTCAGATGCCCTGATGGCACTTGTCCCTTCGATGTGCGTCAATCGGGAAAAACCCACGACCCGGCGGGCATTTCCATCAGCTTAACAGAGTCCAGAACCTCTGCGGAGTCAAGGGCTCTAGGAGTTCGCGACGACACCGACATTATAGGTGACGTTGCAAGTGGTGGAACTTGCTCCATCGAAATGTCCAAAAGCGGTAATTCGGTATCGAGCCACTTACATCGGGACTGTATTGAAATACCAACGATGATGCGACTGAGGTTTCCCAAATCTGAGTATTCAGAGATCACAGACATTCTAGCACAGCTCTTTTGATCTATTCTATTTGAAAGCACTTCACTCTAATTAACATGACTGATCAACCCTTCAAAGTCATCGTCGTTGGTGGCGGACCGAGTGGCATCACGGCGGCACACGTGTTGCAGCAGGCTGGCATCGACTTTGTCGTTCTTGAGAGAAGAGATAGCATTGTCGATGATGTTGGTGCCAGCTTGGTCCTCAGTCCTGGCTCCTTGCGTGTGTTCCATCAACTTGGGATCCTCGAAAATCTCATGGAAATTGGCAACACACTGTCATCAGGCACAGGATTCACCTCCGACGGCCACAAGTTCAAGCAAAACCTGATTGGCGACTACATGATGAAGAAGTAGGTAGTCAACTACTGCTCGTTCTCAGTGCGTAGAAATCCCATGCTAACAACTGCTGCTTACAGTCACGGCGCAGGCCTCACCACATTCCACCGTGCCCACCTGATCCAGGTCCTCTACGACACCCTCCCCGAATCAGCAAGAGCGCGCTACTTCACCGGAAAGAAGCTCGCAAACATCGAGTCGACCGAGAAGGGCGTCACGGTGACCTGCGAAGACGGCTCAACGTACTCTGGAAACATGATCATCGGCGCCGACGGCGTCCACTCCGCCACCAGACGTCAGATGCGCAAGCTCGCCCTCGCCGAGGACCCCAACCGCGACTGGGATCCGATCAACCCGTACAAGATCCAGTACCAGTGCTTGTGGGCATCGTTCCCGCGACCCACCGATGCCGGTCAAGGGTGCGAGACGCAGAGCAAGGATAAGTCCATCATGTACCTCACTGGCAAAGAACGGGGGTGGATCTTCCTCTACGAGAAGCTTACCGCGCCCATCCCCGAGAGGATCTCCTTTACGCCCGAGCAACTCGAGGAGTACGCCGAGCGGTTCGCCGACTGGCCCGTCGCGGAGAACATCACGGTAAAGGACGTCTTCAAGGAGCGGTACAGCGCGGGTGGTGCCGGTCTCGAGGAAGGCATCTGCAAGAACTGGAGTTGGGGCGGGCGCATCGTGCTCGTCGGCGATGCCGTGCACAAGTTCACCCCCAACGCTGGCCTGGGATTCAACAACGGCCTCCAGGACGTCGTCGCCGTCTGCAACCGGCTGCAGAAGCTCACGGCCAACGGCAACAGCCCTTCCCCCGACGACCTGCAGAAGCTCTTTGACAGCTACTGCGAGGAGAGACACGTTCTCTTAGAGAAGGACTTGGACGCGTCGGCGCGGTTGACGAGGTCGCAGGCCTGGGCGTCGACGTTTGACTGGATCATGGCGAGATACGTCATGGCGTTCTCGTTTGTGCAGAAGATCTTCTTCACGCTCAACATGTCTCCGTCCATTCAGAAGGCGAAAGTGTTGGACTTTGTACCGGCCAAGGAGGTTTTCAACGGCAGATACAAGTGGTTGACCCCTTTCCCGAGCGAGAAGTAGTTTGAGGCGTTACGTCCGTTTTCTTTTGTTCTGCTGGTTATTTATTTCAGCTTATTAGAGCATGTTAATTCGAGCGTGAAGCCGGAGTTGGATACATAGATGGGAACGACTAGAATTTGTACGAATAGCCGCGATAGAGAATTTGGGTTTCCCCCTCAAGCTCTGCGTTGTCATCTGTGACTTATATGGACAGCGTTATCACTTCCGTTTTGCTAGCCAGTGAGCCAAAGCTCGCTGAACCAAATTTCCTTCCACCGTGCCTTAGTAGTATTTCAGCGACTATGTGGGAGGCAATGACTTACAGAACAGAGTCATGGGCCTCGAAGGTAAATGCATCGCACTCGCTGTTCTCTTCTGACAGACGTTCATTCAAGGCCAGGACTCGGATCTAAACCTAGACTAGTGACGTGGGGGAGGAAGCGAAACTCTAATTGATTACCGGGGGTATGAAAGTCGGCAGTCGTTAGAATACTACGCCAAGAAACCGGACAAAAGTTTACGTTCTGAGGCTCTGCTATTTGTCTGAATTGTAAAGAAGAGACAAGATCAGACAGAAACGCAAGTTAATTCGGAATATTGGGGGTCAGACCTGTCGACTTTCACGGTTGAAAGCCGAAAGCTCAGGACCAGTTTGTGAAGTTGGGCCCGAAGGCTCGAAACAAGCAAGGCCGGGATCGTCGCCTGTCATCGGGGAATTGCTCCATCTACAGTCCATAATCACCCGCGATGGAGGTCGCGAACTAAAGAAAGAGCAATGTCCGGCGAAGGATTCGGACGGAATCACGGACGCCGAAGCTGAGCGCGACGCCCGGCGAATCTTGGCTCCACATCGGAGACGGCGGCCCGGCGGATATCCTGCCTCCTTTCGGTAAGAGAATCCACTCGGATATCCGGGGGCTGGAACTATACTGCATCACCATGCCCATCGATACGTGTAGAATCTTGAGTGACTAATTACCAGTCCCCGTCGTTTGACCAAGGTTGATTGACCTTGATGGTTACACACTCCCTCAGACTTCCCCAGACCCATTCTCGGTCTCTACTCATCTCCGCCTCTGGTTACAGTAGCTTGTGCTACCCCCATATCAACACCATGTCTTCATCCCGTGGAAGCTGCCGCTGCGGCAACATCAAGATATCGTTCACAGGAGACCCCATAACCACAGTATGTCAACAGAATGCACTCCGCATGACTTACACCGTTCACTAACCCACGGACTCAGGCCGCTTGCCACTGCCTCGACTGCCGCAAAGTCTCGGGCAGCGTCTTTGGCGTGAGCATCCTTGTCTCAGCCGCCGCCTTCACGTGTGACGAGGGCACACCGACAGACTACGCCAGCACATCTGACAGCGGCAACGAGGTCGTCAACCACTTTTGCGGAACATGCGGCGTCACGCTCTGGGCTGACGGGGCGTCGTCCCCGTTCAAGTTCGTCAAGGCCGGGGTTTTAGATGACGCTGCCGCGCTAGATCGATTGAAGCCCGCTGCTGAGATCTATACCTGTCGACGTGCCGCGTGGTGCTCGGCTTTGGAGGGAGCCCAGCAGAAGGAAAAGATGTAGGGGACGGATGTCACAGCGGGAGGAAGAAGGGGCTCTCTTTATCAGTGAGCTGGACTAGTCTACCCAGTAACTTCGTTAGCTCACTTGTACAGAGTATACGCGGGGAAGGGAGGTATCTTACACGAGTGGTCCACTTGCCGATCTGTGAGGGTCCGCCGGCGCGCGCCGATGGGATCCCGCGCGGCTGGGCAGATGCGCGGACAAGCTAATAAACCTCGCATGCGGCCGAGGAAACTCGTTGATCCACCGTGTGCAGATCCGGTTTAAGAAAGGCATATCGTGTTGTCCTCGAGTCCCCTTACCTTCTCAACCATGGCATATTCCTTGCTTCGATGATACTCCCTGGCAATGGGATCTACGAACGGCTGAGGCAAACCCTCCCCAACCAACAGCTTGACTTCATCCTGAAGACCTCCGCGTCGCCCTGAGAGAAGATGTGCAACCAAATTGATTTGAAATCGAATCGAAAGAACCAACGTGTGAAAGATCTGAAGCTGGGGTCCCCTTATCATGGCGATCCCCCCCAACTCCTCTAAAAGTGGTCCTCGCACATCAATCTATCAGCCTTATACTTTCAGATCATACGCCACGATACGCTTCTCATCGCCGTGGAGGTCGAGCAACCCCTCTCAAGGACGATGAAGATTGGTGATCAGGTTTTTCATCAGTATGACACTTATGTACGGACATAAGGAATGCCAGAGCTACTGACCTACAGAGGCCAAGGTATTACATACTCAAAGGTATTGAAATCAGGAATTCTTCCAGCTTCACTTCGCAAGCCATTCGTAGCTTTGCATGTGTCTTCGAAGAATCCCATCATCGACCCCGACTTCGACTCTGAACCCGTTATCCCAATGCCTCCATTCGTCTTCGCAGCTTCAAAAACAGCCCTCATCACCGGAGGCGCATCGGGCATCGGCCTCGCCGTCGCCAAGAAATGCCTCGGTCACGGCATGAAGGTCCTCATCGTTGACAACGACGACGGCTCCTTGGCCTCGGCACGACGTAGCTTGGGAGAAGACAAGGTCTTGACCGCCAAAGCAGACGTCAGCAGTCTCGAAGACTGGGCTCATCTCAAGAAACGTGTCGACAGCGATTTTCAGGGTAATATATTTGCCTCGATCAATGTTGCCCTTGCAACCTAGTACACAGACATTCTAACAAACCTCGCCAGGCCGCATCGACTTCCTCGTCCTCAACGCTGGGATCCAGCCTTCTTCCGCGTGGGACGACCCCTCGACCTTTCAAACAATCTTCAACGTGAACCTCTTTGGCGTGATCAACGGCATCGCAACCTTCAAATCCGCCGTCTCATCATCATCATCGCCCTCCTCCTCCGCCGCCATCGTAATCACCGGCTCAAAACAAGGCATCACAAACCCACCCGGTAACCCAGCCTACAACGCCAGCAAATCCGCCGTCAAAACCATCGCCGAACATCTCTCTTACGACCTCCGCGACTCTTTTTCCAACACCAACGTTTTCCTTCTCGTGCCGGGATGGACCTTCACGAGTCTCGGACGCTGCGAAGAGGAACGCACACCGGAGAAGAAGCCTGCTGCTGCGTGGACTCCGGAGCAAGTCGCAGACTACTTGGAGGCCAAGATGGCGAAAGACGAGTTCTATGTGATTTGTCCCGATAATGAGGTGACGGAGGAGATGGACGCCAAGAGAATGCTCTGGGCTGCGGAGGATGTCGTTCAGCGGCGGCCGGCACTGAGTCGGTGGAGGAAGGAGTACAAGGTGGAATTTGAGGCGTGGATGAGGTCTTGAGTGCGGCGAGTATAAGGGTAACTCGGGGCTGTCTTCAAATTAAAGTGGTCATTGAGGAGAGACACGACCGGGGTTTGGATCCGTTGGCTGGATTCACCACTGAGACGTGTTGTATGTCTTTCCTCATGACGCAAAATCGAGTATGCACTCGAACACATCACGATCTGTCTCGAAAGAGTAGGAGGGTCCATTTTCCAAGGAAACAGGGTTTTCTAATAGCAATTCTTAACTGCACTACACTATGTCTATGTTTAATGGGCGACAGAGACCTTCCGCGCGAGCATTCATATAGTCCCACACAGAATTGGTTACAAAACGCGTCTCCCGATCATATGGATCGAATTGCGTATCATGAGGATCTCTTTTGTACTCATGATCGGCAACGCTATACTCTCCGACACAGTAGGCAGGCCCTAAGTATCGCGCTGTTCGAACCCGGTTCGGAGGATAGGAAAACACTTGGCCGTTTTGCGGGTCTCTGTATGTTCTCCGAGAGCCATCATCTCGTGCTGCTGCGATCTCGTCCAATGGTAATGGCAGCCCATCTTCTTGTGGAACGTCTGAAACCTCGTACACTTTTTTGGGCGTGATCGGCCGCAAGCATATCGATACCTCGACCAGATGGTGTAATGCGAGGGCCCTTGAGGTTTTCCAATTGCCCGACTCTCCGAGTAAAGAGTCATTCCCTGCGAAATATTGCGGCCATGTTTCGTCAAAAGGGATCATGATGTCGCCAAATTTCATATCGTGAGGTGCCAAACCATAATCCTCATCCCAGCTAACAGAATTTTGCGGACCGACATTGTTGTACGGCAAAGGATGCAGCTCAACCAAAGCGAACTTTTGTAGGATGATACAAATCAATGTGAGTAACAGTGTCTGTTCCCCGGTAAGGGACCCTGGGTTCTCAAAGCCAGTCCTGACAGCTTTGTACAGCTTCGATAAGAGCGTGTCCAAAGGCCAGCTACTCACGTGGTCTTTGGCCTCTGATGCAGCGTCCTTGTCCTTCAGGACAATTGCAAATAATGCCGTGATCCTTAAACAATTCCTCAATGTCAAGAATTGATGTTGGATTGGCTTGAGACATGAGAGTGCGTGTTTCCATGACTTTTCTTTCTCAACTACTAGTTCTCGCGATAGCGTCATAATCAGTCGGGCACTCCTCCCATACAGACCACCACGAATTGGCGACCACCTAGCCCGTAATTTATTCTGCTCAACAGATAATTTGGTTCTGAACCCAGTCCTGGGGGAGTTGTCTTCTGATATGCACCGCGTGGAACTTGGCATGTCTTGTTGCGCTTCTTGGAGCAAGAGCTTTTCTTTCTCTTTGCTAAACAAACTGCCATTCAAGTGGAGTTCTGAAGGAGGAACTTCATTTTCTAAGCCATCAATTTTATCGGAACAGCTGATCCAAGGCTTGTCGGCGCGATTCGTTGAGTGTAGGCGATTCATAAAGAACTCGCCCGACGCCAATCCCAGCCGTCGAACCCCAGACCAATCAGGGACCCAAGACGGATACTCGACGTCGTCTAGGCTTCTTCCAGCAATCGATCCAAACGCGAAAAGGTGTAGAATGACCCTGCTCGCCGATAGGGTTCCTTTGTTGATTAATCTCTCAGCTAGGCGGCGATACATTTCCTTCCAGCCGATCTGGCCATACCGGAGATCAATCTGTTGTTCGCTCTGGGGAAGGAAGCCGTCAAAAGCTGCAAGACGATCTCGCGGGTCTGAGCACACGGCCGTATGAAATCCCCAGAGCAGTTCCAAGAGGTCTTCTGTCACATCATGCTTCAGCAAAGGTCGCAGATCTCTGAGGCTATCCTGAGATATCATAAGACTTTCCACCAGGTACCATGCTGTTCGGAAGCGTGCATATCCAACAGAATGCTCTCCATAATGCAAGACGGCTCGATCTGCAAGCCTGACCTCCTGGATAACCCATCTTCGAGTGAACCATGGCCTTTGCGTCAGCATCGTTAAGCTTTTGCAAAGATCCGTCTTGTAGGACTCGGTCGCCGCCGAGAACGCAGGAGCCATGCGTATGTTGGCAAATGCCACTGCGACTTCATCGCCATTGAGTTCGCCGAGCCAGATGTGCACTGTCTCAGCGCACTTGTATATTTCGCCCATCTGTGGAATCTGTACCGCCTTATCATTCTCATCGTGTTGGTCGATGCACAAGGCGTCAATCCAGAGGTACAGCGACTTGTGAGGATTGCGCAGGTGTCGTAGAATGCTATCGACTGTCGGTGTGATTCTCAACAGCGACGCCTTGGGCGTGGTTATGTCGTCGCCAACACTGCTTTGATCAATGACGAGGTCGACGGAGAAATCGGGCAAACCCCAGGTGTACGATACGGCAGAATAATTCCGGGACGTATCTGTGCTACGAAGCTGCTCCCGCCGACTGTATTGGATCATGGAACACCGCAGTTGGGTTTCGAATGAGGTTGCGGGCTGGAGAACGAGCACGCGGGTCGAGTCTGGGTGTTTCAACGTTTCGTAGCGGTATGACGGCAGGCTCTGTGGCCTCTGTGCCAGTGTCACCTCCATGTGGCTGGGAGACTCGAACTGATACCGCAAACGTGGAAAGAGAATAAGAAAGGATGATAAGCAAAACGTGCAGCAGGGAAGGGGGAGGAGGAAGGGTCAACTATCTGAATAATTTCTTGTGGTGCTAAGGTACCTATGGCTGGTGGATCGGTCGCCATGCAGGTCGAGTCGAAATCGGGCAGAAGTGCATATTCCCAACATCCTCTTTGGGGAACTCAAGTATCGAGTTCGTTGGTGCCTAACCACCTGGCTTTTATGTATGAACTCGCAGAGGCTGGTGCCATCAAAACTAGCGTAAGCCCGTCGCGAGATTGTTTACAATGAATAGCACACACACTCAGGTACGGTAACGGTCTACTTAACTAACCAATTTCATTAATCTTTCTAAGATCCTTTTCTTACCTAAGTATGCTGAAGCTGGTCATTCGCATCCCGAATACCTAACTTGAGTTTTAATCATTCTCTTGCGTTCAAATCATCTAGTTCAACACATCTTTATAGTACTCATGCTAGAAAAAAACAGCTTATACACGTGCCAACTGTTTCTTTTGATAGCCGCGTGCCCATGTACTCGACGCGTTGAGCCTCTTCTGGTGTTAAGAACCCGGTAACGTCCAGTTGGGTTCTCAGACCTTCTGTTGTCTTGTTGTTGAAGACCTTTTTGGTAGGGCATTTCTACCTACTCGCAATAGAAGTAACCAAGCCTGTACCTTCTCTCATTTATTCCTTCCCGCTACTTTTTAAATCACTATTCTGAACAGAAGAACGTGTTGACCAGCAAGTAAGTAAGATAGCGAGGACACAGACTACCATAGGTTTGAATGGCATAAGTTCTTATGGTAGTCCCATATCCTAGGGTGAAGTGAACGATAAAATACCCGCGAGCGACTTCACCGTCGGTTCTGTCATGTTTTCTTCCGCAAATTAAAGAGCGGTGCCCAGCCCCCTCAGTTATGGAAGTGATTATGAACAGTACAAAAAAGGATCTTATCTGCTCTAGCTAGATGCTTCCACTTACAACCCCCAACCTGCCACCCCGACCTTCCCCTTCCTCAGAACACGCATCATAGATTTCCTCTCGCCCTCAAGCCATCACATACGACCATACCCATTGGAAAACTCGGGATCCCGTCCGCTCTCCCATAGATAAGCCAATGAGGGCCGGATTAGTAGTTGGGTCGGTGACGACCAGCGAATACCTGGTGTTGTATGTCTTTTGCTTTTGTTTTCCTCTCCCGTCTTCAATTTTGCTCTCAAAATCCCACGATATCCACTGCCCATGTTAGTTTTTTTGGAGTGGTTGCACTTTCGACGAATCAAAAACAAGCGCCAGTCTGTGTTTGGTTATTGGTTGGAGCGAACAGGTGCCAGCCATTGCACGTGCAAAAAAGCTGACATGCACAAGCAGGGAATAGGTAAGAATGACTTGCTCCCTCCCCCCAAAGTCTAAATTCCCGCTTGCCTTTCCGTGGACTTGCGTCATGAACGGTGGTCCCACCCCCCAATGACCTTGACTTGATCCTGTTTAATCACTTACACAGAAATGACGATGGTACTCCGTAGTCGGAACCTCTTTTTTACATCATTTGTCACAGTCATAAACGTTCCACGGTGTACAAGATGCAGGACGCAACATATTGGACAGCACAAAGGTTGGTATGATTGATGCGGTATATGCCTGTGTACATGTATATTCTCCATGACCCTTTTTTTGTCGGGCAGTGAAAGACTCTCCTTGCGACTCCTACTTTTTGGGGGGATGGTGATGGTAGTGTTCTTCGTACAATCGGAGTGGGAACAGAAATTCGCGTTGGGAGGCTAACACCATCACAACACCACAAATCCGAACCTGGTAAAAAAGAGAGAGTAGATATGCGCGTTAATTCGATGCGGGTGTGTGTGTGTGTGTGGTCCAAAGGTATCATGACGCTCGCGGCCGGGACGAACCACGTAAACAAAACAAAGTAAAAAAAGGAATCCTTCCCCTCCCGTTGTCCCCTTTGGGTGAAAAACAAACCAGCATCCCGTCTATTCCAAAATGCCAAACTCCAAGATTCGCCAGGTTTGGAGGGGCTTCTTCTCATCCTTGGCTGGTGAGGACCTCCAAACTCCACATTATGACGGCTTGCCCTGTTCCGCCGTCCTCAACTCCGTTTGACCAGGCTTCTTCTGATGCTTCTTCGGGGGTATGGTACCGTTTCGTCCTGCCCAGCAAGATTTCAATTTTTCAAACATCATTGCGCGCTCTGAGACCTCGACCGGTTGCCGCGTCGATTACTGGATCGCGGAGTGCTATTCCCCTCTCGCCCTGCCCCGGCTCTCACCGCATCGGTGTAGCTGGGTATCGGTGGGTGCGATGGTCCGGCCGCAGCGGCTGCTGAGGCGCCTCGACTCCGATTAAGAACGCGGATCAACGGCGTATTTTCGCTGTCTGTGCTATTCCGACGGCTGCCGGCCTCCGAGTGGTCGGGGCTCGTGTACTCGGGTGGCGGGTTCAAGGCGTCTTGAAGCCCAAGCCCTACGACGCTTTGCCCTTCGTGCCCGCGATTGATGCTGCTGCTTGGCTCGCCGCCCTCATCGTCGGACACAAAGTGCGTCAGGGAGATGTCAGTCGGGCTTCTTACGGGACCGGGGCTCCTCGGTGGAAGTACTCTGAAGTTTCCGCTTCTCGTCCGACCATGTTGAGGTCCCAAGCCACTTTGCGAGTAGGACTGTGTCTGGGAGTGCCCCCGCTGCTGTCCGCCGGCGCCGCCACCGCTGGTGCTCGTGTACCCGTCCTTGCGTCCGGCCTCGAGCAGGATATCGCCCTGTTCGGAGCCATACGGTGGCGGCGGTGCCAGGCTGCCCGTCATCGGGGCAAGGCCCCATTTCTTCACATTGGCCTCGATGAAGACGAAGCCGGCCTGACCAAAGTTGACGTGGACGATGCAGGGCCCGTTGGCACCGATGGCAGGGAAGAAATTTTGCGACTTTACACCGTGAACGGCATCTTCCAGCTTCTTACCATTGCGGGTGAAGAAAATGGTGCCCGTTCGGGGACGATAACCAACGCCGATAACATCTCCCTGGACGAACTGAGGTCCGTAGGGGGTTGCGGCAAATGGCTGGTTGCAACGGCGCTGGCCTGCTGATAGGTATGCTACGGAATGTTTGTGGAAGCCTGGATGGTTAGCGTCATGCGGTTGCAGCGAGGGGCTGGAATGCCATATACCTGGTAGTCTGAACAACGGGTACGGTTTGGTAGCCATGCCGATGCTGAGGAGGGTATTTTCGGGCTTATCGTAGATCTTGGCTTCCCAGTAGTAGACCTCGTTTTGCTTAGGCACGGGCAGATTGCTCATGACGGTGCATTCAGAGTCGAAGAACTCAATCTCGGTGCGGCCTTCGACGAAACAATTTGCGATTTCCAGCTCGGGTTCAAATTCCCAAGCGGAAACACCCTTTTCTTGAATGGCGAGGTATTGCGATAGAGAAATGTCGGTTTGAACGGATTCCGGGGGGTTCGCTTGGATGAATGCTACAAAGGGGGATTGGTTAGTCGTGTGCGGATATCGCGGTAAGGACAATACGAAGGCTGCCTACCTTTTGCTCTCAGGTACTCGGTTCTCTGCATATCGTCCATGGACTCGAGAGCCTCGGCCTCCTCCCGGGCAAAAGCCTGCTCGTCGTCATATTCACCTGGCCGGCCGATGCGATCGAGGAAGATGCGGCCGCTGGCCGTGTATCTGAAGAAGTAGATGACGAGGAAGATGAGAGCGATAAGGACGGCGGAGCCAAAGGATGAGAGTAATCCAATGACAACGCCGTTCAGCGCCGATGATGGAGCTGAGGGTGCCATTGTGGGCAGGCGACGACGTTTGTCGATGCAATCCGGTCAATCGATCGGCTGTCGTTCGTGGGGTGGTGGTGGTGGTGAACTCGTGAGCAGAGTGGTGGTGAGGTAGGATGGGTCGGTCGAGAGGAGGGACGGCTGGCGTCACCGCCGCGAAAGCAGCATTCGCGGGCGAATCGACACTCGTGAAGCAAGCGATGAGAAGGAGAAAGGCGACAGGCGAAATACACTGGACACGGCAAAAGAATAAAGGAAGGTCGTCGTCGACGGACGGACGGTGCGAAGAGAGAGAGAGAGAGAGAGATTGGCTGGGATTGAAAGAGATGCGAAAGAGTTGGTTGTTGGTTTGGGACAAGTTGGGTTGGCGCGGGCGGGCGGCGTAGGCGTGAGCGTAAGGTGAGGGTACGGTAGGTAAGGTAGGCGTACGGGGTGCTGTGGGTAGGCACGCAGGTAAGGCACGGTAGCGTCGGTCGGCAAGGTCAGACGAGCGTTGTCGTCGTCTTCCTGGGAGTGAGGTACCTGGAGGTGAGGTAGCAGCGCAAGTACTGCGTAGGTAGGCGGTTGTGCTGTGCTGCGCTGTGCACCGCTACGACGGCGGAACAGCAGCAAGCAGGGCGAGTGGTTGCGTTGCCACAGTTCTCCGACTAACCCAAGTCGCAGGTCGATGGGGCATGGGCTGCTCTCGTTTGTGGCGGGTCCCCTCTCTCACTCTCAGTCTCAGTCTCAGTCTCTCTCTCAGCCTTGGGGAAAGGTACTTTAATGTAGGTAGGTAAGCAGGTAACCTAAGGTAAGGTTATGTAGGCGGCAGCGGCGCAAAGGGAGTCGGCCGGGTTCTCTGCTGCCCGGGCTACCCAAGGGCGATGGATGACTACCGTGACTAGGCACCTTTTACTATCGAAAAGCAAGGTACTTTAGTTAAGGTACGGCAAGGTAAATAGATAGGCCCCGTTCACGTAGGGAGAAGGGACCGGGGGATCAAGTATCCGAACGATACCTCCGAAAGCCTAGAGGTAGCGTAAGGTAGGGAGAGAGATCAAATGGGAGAGGAGTTCAGTTTAGTGTTGGGATGGAAAAAAGAGGGGGACGAGGGGGAAAAAAAAAGAATAAAAATAAAAGCAAGGTGTGAGCAAAGGGCTGCACACGCAATCCGGTGGTTTGGTACCAAGTATGGATAATGCGTACGTATGTATCCCTCGTTGCGTGTGGTGGTGTCTCGAGGTAGGTTTCTTTCTGAAAAGAAGGTTAGATTCAAGCTGGACCGTGGACACAACCAGGTCTACAAGTAAAGGGCAAAAACAAATCGAGCGTGGGCTTAGGCGTTGCCGATTCCCGTCAATCAATCTGTCAAGAGTTGGCTTGCTTGTGTCTAACGTCAAGTGAGGAGAAAAGAAGGCAAAGAGAAGGATGGAACGTCGAGATGTCTACGTCTACATCTACATCTACTGTGTACGTACCGATAGTAACAGGCAGGCCAGGACTGCCTGCTCCGGGAAGAGGTCACTCGCAACTGGCACCGCCCGGGACTGCAGGACGAAGAAGAGCACCAAGAAAAAAAAGGTGCATCCGTACGGGAGACGACGGCACAAGACGCAGCTGGACAAGGTACAAGCGGGTCAGGGGCCGCAGTACGCGAGCCAAGTCCGCATCGTGTTAGAGATGCGCTACCGTTTTCAGTGTTGTTTGGTGGAAAAGTGCTAACAGGTGGCGGGGGCAAGATTCGTACTGCGGAGTCGCCGCGCTCAGTCAGGCCCCTCAGAACCAAGGTACCCAGGCAGGTAGATGACGCTGACAGACGGGTCCCAGCTCCATTCCCCCTCCAGCATCTCCCATCTATCCGCACCATCTCACACGCATCTCTCCCATCTCCGTCTCCTCCCATCTTGGAATCTTGCCATCTTCGGTACCTGGTCGTCCTATGACCCCACCCGCCAACTCCAATGTACTCCGTACCTGCGCCGCAAAAGTGGGCTAACAAGCAAGTCTGTCGCTCACTCAGTCATTCAAGGTATCCGTCTGCGCCTGTTCCAACTTTCAAGGTTCTTCAGGAACAGATATGTGCCACTATTCGTACGGACACCGCACGTGCTCTGAGCGGGCGGAGGTTGGGAGGATCAAAGACGCACAACACCCCCGAGGGGCCCGATGAATCTGCAGCAATCGTCCGTCCGGCAGCTCTGGAACCACTCACCGGAGGAGACTGACGGGAGCCCCCCGACCATGCCCGCATGGCTTCCTCACCTCACCGCGTCCCCTTCACCGCGAATTTGCTTGGAGGATGGAAGATGCAGCCAAGCGTGCGGAGGTTGTGAGAGGCTGGCAGAACATCAGCCAACCACTGCATAACTGGGCGCCTTTGCCTGCCTTACTCCATTATCCATACTCCGTACGCAGGCCAAAAACTGGCCAACGACTTGCTTTCTTCTTCCTGCTCAACAAGTCTGCGGGGGTTTGTGCAACCTCGATTGACTACTGATGATATTCCCGGGGGCACAACATCTATAATGCACTACGGCGTAGACCTTGACCAACCCCCCTTTGCTTGTCTGCTAAAGCCGTCCGGGGCCAACCACCAAACATCCAAGTTCCAACACCATCTCTGCCATTGTTTCCGCTATCAACATACTTACTCGCAACACGCGACAATGACAATAGGGAACAACGATGGACAGAACACAGCGACAGAACAAGGCATGCATTAACCACCCGTCCGGGCGGTTAAGCCTAAGCCATGCTAGGTCAAGGACCAAACCCACCCGCCAACCCTAGCCCAAAAAGTTCGAGGACCAACGAGGCAATGAGAGCCCAGAGAAGGGCAAGGGGGCGGGGGCCACTGGAATGGCAGGGTGGCTGGGCAGGGCCTGGCGCAGCCCGCTAGTTTCAACTCACAACAAGAGATTCGCATTGCGGTTTCATGCTCTGGCCGTCTCTTTATACCACCAAAAAAAGACGAGAGTGCCCCCTTTCGTCTCGAAGCCGCCGGCCGTGCTCAGCCGCAATTCCTCCCTGCCCCGTACCTACGCAGTATTCGTACATAGTAAGGACCAAGGTATGCAAAGGGAATCTTGGTGTCTCATTATTTACTCGACTAGCCAACTACCGCGGGTCAATAATGGCATTCTCTTTGTCTGCGTTCGGAAACCAGGTGATGAACAACGGCGGCCCTGACGCAAAACTCATTCTCTCAGGGGCTATTATTTCTCCAATGGCCGCGACCGTCGTCCAGGACTCCAGCGATACGACACCATCCCCCCGTCCCGTCACTGTAACGCGCAGGCCATCATCATGCGCCGTATTTCCCCCTTTGCATCCGACTTCTTCATGCTGCTACCGATCCATCCATGCCCCTTCCCTCTTCATTCCTCTGAAATGCCCGGGAACGGTTGCCCACGCACCCAAACGCCCCAAGCCTTAGGTAATCCTTCCCGCTCTTCGTATCTCTCGGCACCCGGCATCGTCAAAATTTGAGGGTAGGGTACGTTTCCAGCGTTGCCCCCTTTCCTGTCCGTGATCGGGTCCGAGACCTCCGTGATGAAAGAGCTTCAGGGACGGCGAGGGGAGATGGCTCCTAAAAGCCCTAAAAGAGAAAAAAAAGATCCTGCTCACGGCCCGCCGCCAGACTATTGTCAGTGCCCCATCGCATTCCACCATTGACGGACACCGGATACCTGTCAAGTTCACGTCAGAAATTCCTCCAAACGGCGCCGCACCCGGACGCCTTCTCCTTCAACCCGTCTTCGCTGGGCTGGCTGGCGGCGCGCACAGTCGCTAATCGGGGGCACGGGGGTTGTCGGTGTCGGTGGGAGTGGATTGCGTTACCTAGTTTCGTGGTTTGTCCCGCTACCTACTTGGGTATGCTGCGATGCTACCTTACTCAGCACGTCAAACTTGAGAGTTTTTGGGCACATTCCGACTTCGTACCCCCCCGTGCCCCCCGCCCGTAGGGCCAGGTGGATCCACTCTGACTTTTTCGACTCCACTTTGCTCCGGTGCGGGAGATCGGCCGGACGGGAGACATGGTCAACTCGTGATCCACTTTTCATCTACCTCCGAAAAATCGCTTTCCTCGCGCCGCACCCCGGGAAAGGTTTCTTCATCGTCCGAAAACCTGAACAACCACGAAGGTGAATGACTGTGTTCTGCAACAACTGCAATAGCACGCAATGGGGGTCGCATCACAATTTTACCATGACGATCGACCCTTTTAACCTGTCACTGTTGCTTGTTTGTTCTGGGGTTCGACATCAAAGCCGTAAGTTTTCTGGCGGTAAAGTTTTACCATGACACCCCCCTGTTAGTACCGATACCAACGACCACCGCGGTTCCCGTCCTGTTTGCTTCCACGTTTTGTGAATCACCCACGTTTGAAGTTTCCAAAACAATTTCGCAGTTCTTGTGGATTCACTCTGTAGAGTCACTATAAAATATGAGTGTGATTGACGCGAACTATTCTAGACGGGAGGATAATCCACAATCGCCTTTACCCAAGGCCGGTTCGTGAGTCTGTGGCAGAAACATATCTCCTGTCTATGAGACTCATCCCAAACTCACCTGCTATGTACTGCACTGCAGTGAAGCTATTTCCGATACAAAAGTGATCCACTCCTTCTTTCTATCCCATCTCCGATACATATTCACCAGAGTAACCCACGCCGCCAGCGCCGCAGGGTTCCCAGTAGAAATACCATCCATCTCCGGTATTCTTTCTATAAGCCATAACAGAGCACCTCTCACCCCTCTAATTCCTTCCTATCCTCGCAAGCAGGTCAGTCAGCTCAGTCAGTCACCAGTTACCTACCCAGTTACCTGCCCAGTTACCTGCCCAGTTACCTTTCTTACTATCCCCCTTCATACACCATTTATTCACAATGGAACACAACAACAACCGCGAGGACAAGAAGTCCAAAGGCAAAAAGCCCAACCGCAGACCACGCGATAAACGAAGCACCTGTCGCCACTTCCTCGAGGGCCGCTGCACCTACGGCAGAGAAAACTGCAACTTCCCCCACAGAGACGGGGAGCTGCGTCCCGAGATGGTCGCGGCGGCGGCCCAGCAGGAGGAGGACGTCGCGCTGGCGGAGGCGAGATACAACGCCAACGCCCACGCCCTCTACAGCAGCGTCACGTACAATAGTGGGTTGTACGTCAATGGCCACTACGTCAACCACGGCCATTACACCAACAATGGCCACATCAACAGCAGCCACAGCCAGCACCAGCACCAGCCAGCGCTGCCGCCGCCTCAGTGGATGGGATATCGCATTCCCGATCCCATGCCCAACGCCCTGGGCCGCTCGACGTTCGACGGCACGCGGGAGGAGGCGACGTTGTACTTCGACTCGCCGCTGCCGCCGTACGCTGGGCCTTCTCGCCCGCCACCGGGATATGGCCCCCCGGAATACGGTGCTCCGGGACCTTACTACGCCCCGCCGCACCACCTCGTCCACGGCGGACACGACTACGGCTACGCCGGTCCCTCCTTCCCGCCGCCGGGCCTGCCCATACCCTTGCACGGCCCGCCGATCGATCCCATGGGCATGAGCTGGCGGCCCACCCACCAGCCCGGACCCCTTAGCCCGCCTCCTGGCTTGGGCCCGGGCCCGTCAAACGCCCTCGCGCCTCCTCCGGGCTTCGAACCCGGACCGGGGGTTTACCCCCTTTCCCCTTCCCCCGCCCCCCTCAGCCCTCACCAAGGCTCAAGGCTTGAGCTCGCGCCTGTCGCCGCCACCTCTCCTGCGCCTGAAGAGGCCCCCGTCCCCAACACCGCTCCTGCCGCAGCGGTCGCAGACTCGGCCCAAGACCCTACTACCATACAATGCTGGTACGGTCTTGGCTGCAAGAGGCCAGGGTGCCATTTCCGGCACGATGGCCCTGACGGGGGCGTCGCCAATGGAGAGGCCAGCGGCAGCGGCAGCGGCAGCGGCAGTGCCAACGCCAACGGCGACGGCGACGAGGGCTACGACGGCGACGGCGACGACGTGAGCATGAGCGAGTCATCAGGCTCCATGTACGTCCCGCCTCCGCCGGCGAGCGAGCAGTCCTACGCGGCGGCCACCCCTCAGTCGTCGCCACGGCAGCTGCCGAATTCCGTCGCCGGCGATGTCACCCCTCCCTCCGTTGGCGGGGGCGTCACCCCTTCTTCCGCTGCCGGCGACATCACCCCTCCTTCTCCGGAGCATACCTTGGAGGAATACTCTGCGGAGGAGGAGGGGGAGGATGCAGAACAGCCTGCCGCAGAAGAAGAGACTCCCGAGGCGGAGCACCCCGAGGAGGAGAGTCCTCAGGATGAGGAAGGAGGGCAGCTCTCCACCGCGGAGGAAACTCCAGGGGAGCTGCTCTCTGAGGAGCACTCCTCGCAAGAGGAGTCAGTAGAGACTCCAATCTCCTCGGGGGAGAAGAAGGAGGAAGAGGAGGAGCAGGCCCCTGCTGCTGCCCAGCAGCCTGCCGCCAGACGCCCTGGGCCCGCGGTCGTTGACGGACGGAGTGCCTGGGGCTTGAGCTTGGTCAAGGCCAATGGCACGCAGGAGGCTGCTTGAATTCCTCTTTCTTCTCGCCCGCACTGGGAGAAGCACCGTACGCGTATCGATGCGGTGGCACTCGTCTTGGGACGGTGGGACGATGATATCTGCTCGCCTTCGCATCGATGCGACAAGGTCCAATCTTGGGGGCCGTCGGAATGATGATATCTGTCTGCTCGCCATCGCTCTATCGTATCAGGAGACCGGAATTACCCACCCCTCCCTTCCAGGATTGCAAGGAGACATTCGTTCTGATTGTCTGAGATGATGGTACCTGGAGTGAGAGCCGATGAGTATTAAACATTGACCATGACCACGACAAACTTGATCAGACGCATAGGAAGCAATCAACGACGCAAGACACGAAGTAGAGGCGTCATTGCTGAGATTGTTTCGAGTCTGGGAGAACGACAGGGCCCCGATAGAACTTGACATCCTCTGGAGCCTGTGCCGATATGAATACGATAGAGAGACGAAGAGAAAGAAAAACAAAAGACCGGGAAAAAAGGAAGATAAGAAAAAAAGGTATGTGAGGAAGGCAGAGAAAAAGGCACACGGCAAACGGCGAGGAAAGGGTCGTATTGACCTGACCTCCAACACTCCACGACCGACTGCCTACTAAGAGACGAGGTCTGACCCATGCTCAATGAGAAAATGGGTTAGACAGCCGGCCATCGTCTGGTGGTCGGTCATATACGGGGAAATCGTGTATGGAGAAAAGAGAGATTGCAACGAGGAGACTTCGAAAACGACGGCAACGACGAGCCTTCCTCTATGGCGTAATAATTCGGGGCATACCATAGAGGAAGGCCGATAGAAATGACGTGAGACGAGGCTCTCATGTAGAGGGGTCAATTACTCCTGGGCGTTTTAAAAAAGGGTTGAGTTATGAGGCATCGGGCAGCCTTCACCATCGTGTCGGGCCCCGTCAACGACTCAAAATCTCAACCCAAGACGACGACTTGCGCAGGTTGACTTGAGGTATTGCAACAGATTGGGTCAGGGTTGCATCCACGGCGTAAACTGGTCAAGATAGAAATGGATAGAACATAAATTGATGTTTACGCTGGACAAATAAAAACATGCATTGATGTGAGTCCCGATGTCAACGCTCTACACCCGACTCCATGCACAAAGGGACGTCCTTGGAGCGTCCACTGGGTAATCTGTATTTTACAACGATCCTTCATCTTATTCGATCCTTTAGACCCCGTCCCTCCCTCTTACAGCGCCAATAGCGGCTGCTGCTCCTCCGCTCGCCGCTGGTCTCCCCCGTGCGTTTCCCTCTGAGCCTCGTTCTCACCCTCCTCGGCATCGTTGCGTCCTGAAGTCTCATTCGTCTCGTCATTATTCTGGGTTTCCGTGTTTTCAGGGTTGGCGGCAGCTTCTGCCGCAGCGGCTGCGGCAGCCTCCGCTTCCTCCCTTCTCTGACGCTCGGCGCGGGCTTCAGCTTCAAGATGAGCAATATGGCGCTCCGCAACACCTGGTGCAATACTAGCCAGGAAGAGAAGACCAGCTCTCTCGAGCCGCCGCACTTGATCCATCAACCAATTCGCGTTGTCGTGTCTGCGCTGAGCTACCAGCCTGGCAGCTGCTCGTGTCGGATCAGGTTGACCATCGCGTCCAACCACGGCCTGGTCGTCTCGGGGACGGACAGGCTCATTGACGTTATTCGGCGCAGCTAGGGGTAGCAGATTCTCCATATGACGTCTGACTGGCCCCACAGCCTGGTCAAAGTAATTGTTTAGAAGCCCAGTGTTCAGGACAAAGATGCTGATCGCGATTGAAATCACAGTGATCCACCTAGACCAGCCTGCATTGGGCGAGGTAAACCACCACACAAAGAGGGCGAGCCTAACTACCAGCCAAAAGTGTGGCCACACTTGCGCAATCAGCGGAGCGATACCCGGATTGTTGGGGTGGGCAGGCACTGCTGCTGCGGCAGGCTGTCCCTGAGGCTGATGCATGGGTGGTTGCGCCTCAGGTTGGTGCTGCTGCTGCACATGCGGTTGAGGTTCTGCTTGATGTGCTGGTTGCTGTTCTTCGTGATGGGGTGGTGGAGTCACAAAAGCTCCTGGCCAGGCAACATGTTGGGGGCGACCTCGCATTCTCGCGAGCGCAGAGGCGGTTTGGTGAAGGGCTGAGGTAGTGTGGGGCTGCCCTCTTGGAGTGTAGTACGAGTCCGTGGCGTTATTGATCAATAGAGCACGAGGACCTTGAGGCGAAGACAAGATATAAACTTCAGGACCGGACGGTGCTTGCTGTTGAGCGTTTGCAGAATGTCTGCTGCCGCCGCTGACTGAGCGAGCGGTAGGATCAGGGGTAGGCCGTCTACTACTGGCTCTGGATCCAGGTGTTGGGTAGTAAGGGGTAGTGACGCCAATAGATGAGCCTCCATTGGCAAGGGATGTGCTAGAGGCGCTTCTCTGCATCGCATTGGTCATGGCCAATGTTGCTTGGTTGCTGTCAGCGGCCCTCAAGATGGTCTGGACGTCAGCAGTGGACAGAGGCGTCGAAGTACCTTGACTGCCCGGCTGCTGAACATTCAATTGGCCACCGAGGAAGGTCTCGTTGACCGTTACGCGATACGTCTGTCCGTTCGGCATGAGGCCCTCTCGCACATACGTGTGCCCGTCAGGATTGCTAAGCGGGCTGGCTCGTCCACGAGTGGGGTCCGCAGGATTGGGGACCGCCGCCGGTGAATCGCCAACGCCATGCACGCCCATAGACGCTCTCATAGCCTGATTCTGGTTGATCTGCTGGTGGGCCATGGCCCTGTTCATAGCCTCGCGTTGAAGTCCGTTCATCCATGCCGTCATGCTCTGGTGCTGTTGCGCCTGCAGTTGCTGGAGCTGCTGCAGAGTCAGGTTCGCTGGTATTTGAGGCGGTGCAGGGAACGGCATAGGGTTCGACGTCGGATGCAGAGGCGTTCGTCTGGTAAAGGCCGCAGCTGTAGGCTGACTGCCATGATGATGGACGTGTTGGGGTTGACCGGTGGTGCCAAAAGGGCCTGGAAAATGGGCAGGGGGCGGCGCCGGGCTCGACCCTCGAGCAAGTGCCGGTGTCGGAGTCGTAGAGCGAAGCGGTTCTGCGATGTCTCGGAGCACGAGGTGAATCGTCTGCTGGTCGGTAGTGCGGATCTGTCCCCAAGTCAGTCAGCGATGGTGTGCAATTGTCAGCAGAGCAGGGGGACTCACAACTTCCTCACCGAGGACGGTCAGGAGAGTGTCCCCATCCTGCGCCAAAGGCCGGCCCCGGTAGATCAATCGCTGCTGGGCATCGGTCGGCTTGAGAGGAAGCGCTTGTCGAATTTTCTCCTTGAGCTGTCGAACCGTCGTGGTAGCCGCGAGACCAGGGAAGACCAAGGGCCGGCTAGACGTTGCAGCGGTGGATGGCGACAAGACCTGCAGGTTTACGGACAGGTGTTCAGAAGTAGCCTCTGGCGCAGAGGGCGCGGTGGAAGACGAGGCTTCAGAGGCCATGATGAGGCCTATCGGTCATGCCACGCAGAGCGCGACGCGGCAGCTTCGTCTGATTGTCCGCGGGAAAGGAGTGGTGGTGTATGCGCAAGAAGACGATGCTCATGTCACCGTGTCGTTCGTAGACGGGGAAATTTAGGACATGTGTTGCTCTCCGACTGCAGACTCTCCAGCTCAGGTACGGACCCGCTGGCCTCACTAAAAACGTGGGTACGTAGTCCGTCCCTGGGACCCGGAAGGCCCGACCCATGCACGCTGTCCCAATCGGGCGGGTGGTGACAGCCCCATTATGTAAGCCAGAAGATGGGATGCATCTGATCCTCGGTCACATGGAGGGAAGGGAGGCACCTTATGCATTACCTGGAACTTACCTATCGGTATTCATCTTTGGCAGCCTTACCTTGCTGTCACTCTGATTTCTATATAATTTACATGTTTTCCTATGAAGATTTGTATGTGAACATAAGCAGTGTCATCAATAGCGGCAATAGTGATGCATGAATGGGGTCAGCAACGTCACGTCACGGTCTCAGAGACGCAAGAGTTTCAATTATTCTCATCCCTCTGCCAAGTGACTAACCCAGGACAGGAAAAAATGATGAGAAAGTCGGGGAGTTGGGTCTCTCGAGCTTCAGACGCACAAGAAACAATCGAGACCTGTCAGAGATGGACGACTCGAGTACTTCTATGAGGCAAGTCGCCTCACGGCTTCGAGCCACAGTGCAGCCTTTATAATTTGATTCCGAATTTGCTTCGGAAAAGTCTCCTCAACACAACTTTGAAAAAATGAAGTGACGCTCCTCGGCTTCCAGCAGTTTTGTGTGCTCGAAGTCTATTCAAATGCATCATTAAGAGGACGTTGCTGCCAGTTGCCCAAATGAGACTAGCGCAGTTGGATGGTTCGTGCTGCGTCATGCCAAAGCTGCTGCCGAGCTGCAAGATCTTATCGCAAGACGCCTGCTCATCCAAACTGTCGTCGTCTGGCCCATTTGCTCGTCCCCGCAAACCCAGCCAAAAAGCCCGGTGGCCCCAAACAATCGCAAACTCTCTCGATTGAGGTCCCATTCCCATCATGGCTACGCTGTACGCTCGCCAGAGCCAGCTACGAGCCACCAACCTCTTCTCTCTCCACGGCCCCTGCGCCTCGACCCGATTCTTCTCCCAGCAGCAGCAGCGCCCTCGCTTCTCCTCCCGCCTGCGGCACGCCCTCAACAACAGCAAAGTGCAGTGGTACCAGATCCCCGTCGGCCTCGGCATCGGCTTCCTGGGCCTGGTCCAGTTCTACAAGGTCTCGACGCGCGAGCGCGAGAAGCAGGAGAGGGACGACGTCCAAGATGGCGCGCCGCCCAAGAAGCGCGCAAAGATCAGGCCCGATGGACCATGGCAGGTCCAGGTCATGTCGACGCTGCCCTTGAAGGCGATTTCGAGGCTCTGGGGTCGGTTCAACGAATTGACTATCCCTTACTACCTTCGTGTTCCCGGATTCAAGCTCTACTCATGGATCTTTGGCGTCAAGTAAAGTCTCAAAAAGCCCGAGTCTGGCATCATTCCATGCTAACCTACCTCGACAGCTTGGACGAAGTCGCCGAACCCGATCTGCGAACATACCCGAACCTTGCCTCTTTCTTCTACCGCCAGCTCAAGCCCGGTTCCCGTCCGCTCCACCCAGACTCCAACGCCCTGCTCTCCCCCTCTGATGGCCGCGTCTTACAATACGGCCAGATTGAAGGCGGAGATATCGAGCAGGTCAAGGGCATGACCTACAGCATCGACGCACTCCTCGGCAAGAACACTCCCACATCAAGTATCGCAAGCGGATGGTCCACCCCTCAGGAAGCCGAGGCGGACAAGGCCAACATCTCCCCCAACGAGGACCTCGTCAAGACGGATGAGGAATTCGCCCGCGTCAATGGCATCTCCTACACCGTACCCAGCCTCCTTTCGGGCCCCGCTATGTCGGTGCGTAAGGGTTCCCTCAAGGACGAGGCCGTCGAGCCACCCTCGCCGTCTGCCGTCTCCGAGGTTCGCGCCGACCTTGCCCTCGGCGAGAAGCCCTGGTACGACCTGATTTCGCCCGACAACAAGACGTCCCTGTACTACGCCGTCATCTACCTCGCCCCTGGAGACTACCACCGCTTCCACTCACCCGCCAACTGGGTCGTCGAACGCCGCCGTCACTTTGCCGGCGAGCTCTACAGCGTCTCCCCGTACCTCCAGCGCACGCTGCCCGGTCTCTTCACCCTCAACGAGCGCGTCGTTCTCCTCGGACGCTGGCGCTACGGATTCTTCAGCTACGTCCCCGTCGGTGCCACCAACGTGGGATCTATCAAGATCAACTTTGATCGTGAGCTGCGCACCAACAGCTTGACCACGGACACGGCGGCCGATCGTGCTGCGGAGGAGGCTGCGGCCCGCGGTGAGCCCTACACGGGATTCGCCGAGGCGACGTATGCCTCGGCCAGTCCCGTGCTCGGCGGTCACGCTCTGCGGAGAGGCGAGGAGATGGGTGGTTTCCAGCTCGGTAGCACCATTGTGCTGGTGTTTGAGGCGCCGACCGAGGGCAAAACGCCGGATGACAAGTCTGGCTGGAGGTGGGCTGTTGAAAAGGGCCAGACGGTCAGAATGGGCCAGGCGTTGGGATTTATTGAAGAGGAGTGAAAAGATGTCTTTTTGTCTAAATAGGACGAATGTCCATGTACACATATACACCAATCGACTTAGAGCGTCGCGATGAATAACAAAAACGGAGAGCTCATCTCATGTTGTTTTTCGTAGTCTCCCACAGTCAGCGCTATGAAGTACCACCATCGATGTCAGCCCGAACTCCCAAAGTGTGATTCGAATCCCGTTTGAATCCCGTCAGCGCGTGGCGTCAGATGCTTATTTCGAATGGGCGGATTCAATTGGCTTCCGTCAGCGTGGCGCCGATCCCGTCTCACTTACATGGCACTTGTTTTTATTCCGAAAGGATTTGGAGAGACGACGACAGAACAAATGTTTTACAATCATTCCAATGCATTAAATTCAATCAAAAGTCCATCGCTAAAGATTGTCTAACTAGCCAAACAGGGGGGGCCAAAAAAAACTCCAGCAGATGCAGCTTTATGTGTGTGTTTTCCTCCACTGACTTTCTTTCTACGCTCTAAACCTCTCGAGAGTGCTGTCCGTCTCTTCTAAGCGTCGCTTTCGATTTGCCGTCTACGAGCTGAAGGTCTTGAAGATCTCCTCAATGGGCTTGAACTCCTTGGGGCCGGCCTCGCCCGTCTTGCCGCCAAAGACGAGCTGGGCGTTGAGCTTCCAGCTGGCGGGCACCTTCCACTCGGCGGCGACCTGCTGGTCGACGAGCGGGTTGTAGTGCTGCAGGTTGGCGCCGAGGCCCTCGGCCTCGAGGGCGGTCCAGACGGCGAACTGGAGCATGCCGTCGGACTGGTTGGCCCAGACGGGGAAGCGGTCGGCGTAGAGCGCAAACTTCTCCTGCATGCCGTTGACGACGTCCTGGTCCTCGAAGAAGAGGACGGAGCCGGCGGCAGCCTTGAACATGTTGAGCTTGCCGGAGGTGGACTCCCACTGCTCGGCGGGGACGATGGCCTTGAGGACGGAGAGGGCGATGTCCCAGAACTTTTCGTGCTCTGCGCCGTGGAGGACGACGACGCGGTTGGACTGGGAGTTGAAGGAGGAGGGGACGTGGGCGAGGGCGGTCTTGACGATCTCGTCGACGCGGGCGGTCTCGATGGGGAGGGTCTTGGAGAGGGGGTAGTAGGTGCGGCGGGCCTTGACGGCGTCGAGGATGAGGTTTGCGCTGGGGGCGGACATTTTGGCTGTGGTTGAGGTGAAGGTTCTGGAGAACTGGTGTTGTTTTGTGGTGGTGATGGTTGTGGTGGTGAGAGGACGGAGGGTGGAGAGTCTCTTTGATGCTTGGATTGCTGTTCTGGTGATGCTGATCATGGTTCTTCTCTCTTCTAGATGTGCGAGATGGGGGGAGGGCGTCTCGATGGGTTATATACCGAGGGAGAGGAGGGGGGGGGGGGGGGCACAATAGCTACGGAGTATCCGTACTGACGCTAGGTACGGATACCTTTCCCATCCCGCCTTTGGGATTTCTCCCGCAAAGGCGTCTCAGAACCCGTTGGAAACCTCTCCCTCCCTCGCACCCCTCCTCCCCACCATCGACAGCAACACCTAGCAACCACAGCAAGCAGCACTGCGGTCGCAGGCAAGCAAGCAAGCAGGTGCGCCAAAGAGCTACACTGCAAGCCCAAGGTCCCCGCTTCTCTGCCCCTCCATGCCATGGATCAGGGCGTCTCCATCATCGGATGGGGACCACCCCCCCTGACTGAAGATGCTCGAGCGCCAAAGGCGTGCTTTGGGGGGACGAGGACCCGGCCGCTGAGCAAATGGTGTGGTAATCAAGCGTGTACCGGATTACCAATGTCGACCCAATGATATCCAACTGGCGCCAGTCACCAACATGATGTACCTTGCTTTTAGATAGCGGGAGAGCGCGACCGAACTGGCGAGGAGGAAATGGAGTCGATAGCGCAGGAAAGCTCCCGCTCGATGAAGCGGAATGTTTTTTGCTGGTTCCAATGGCCGACGGCGAGTCACAATTCGCTGCAGAATCGCATTTCTTTGTCATGTCACTCGACACATTAACTAGGTCGTATTGGGGAAGTTTGAGGGATGATTAAGCGGGCGGTACACGGATACGGAGTACTCAATTGACATCATTCCGCTGGCGGGGTACCTTTTGCATTTTCATCCCCGCGGAAACCTCACAACGACAGCGCGATAGGTACCTACATACCTACATACATACATACAGAATGTAGTTTGTTCACGACTCGATGATAATTGGACTTCTTACTCGCCGATTCACATCATTTTGTGCTAGCTACCAGTACCGGAAGACAAGCTTTTACGGGGGATTCCCTAGAGCAAGGTACTTTATTTCTCGTCCAATGCCAAAGTAGAAGAAGGAGAGCATACTGTAGTTCCGGTTCCCGATATTTTCTCGGGGAATCGGGGAACAATGCAAACATCCACCGCGCGGGAATTGCAAAGAGAGGGAAAAGACGCCCATGCGGGCATACGCCACGCCTGTCACGAAAATTCTAGAATAATGATAGACTACAGGTACATCGCACTACGAACGCACACATCCCGACCAGCTTAGGTCCCCTTGCAGGCGGTGAAGAACAGACCCAGAGGACACACAAGATTGGGGGCTAAAACTAGCCTCCTGGATAGCTTGATAGCTTCTCCCCAAGGCATTTCATTTCCAATCTACCGCGCGTGTGTCTGTCATTCCCGTCTCCCTGATCGTCCGACCATGTCTATGTAGTTGTCCAAGTGCTTTGCTAGGGAACGAACACATCCAAAGACATGCACAGCGATGCGCCCTGCGCCTGCGCCTTTCCCGCGCGTCCAAGGCTCGAAAGCTCGCGGCCGACCTGCTCTAAGAAGGTATCCACAAACAGCGAGCAGCCAGATCGGATCCTGCAGCAACACCAAGGCGCATCCAAAAGTCGCCGCATTTCATCCGAGACCCCTTTCTCCCAAGTTCCCGCGCGGGTCGGGTAAACGACGACAACCGTTGACCGTCTGCTTCACCATCCGTGCCTCCAGAACCGCGGCGCGGTTGGGCATTTGCTGAATTACAAACCAGCACACATGATTATCAATTCTCAAGACAAGGGCCAACATGCCAGTGTTCTGTTTTCTCTAGATGCTAGGCACGATCGCATAACTTGCACGACTCAAAGTCCAGCGCATCGCTCAAATGAGCAAAGCTATCCTGAACGCAGAAGCACAGGGCCTTGGCCCCCCCACACACATACGCACTTACACACACCCGCGCGATGACAAGCAGCTGAATAAGCCAAAGCCCCATCCTGGTCCATAACCGCGCGCGAGAACCCACCCCGCCAGAACTACTCCCGCCCGTCCAGCCACCAGCCCATCGCGATGGCGCAATATTGAATGGCGTCCCGATCGTTGCGCGGGTGATGGAGTACTCCATACGGATACCAAGCGAGTTACGGACATATTTCCCACATGAACAATATGCGACCGGGAGTAGCTCCACCTCGGAGCACCAAGTTGACATGTCCCCCTCCTCCAGAAGAGAACCTGCCCGGCGCAAAAGGTTTCGGCTTCCGTTACGAAGCACGGCGCATGCCGTGTCTACAGTCTCTTCGCCAATGATTCCCGAGTGTCGGGCGCCCGGGCCCTGTCAGGACCGGCGCAAGGCAGTCTTCGCTGGCGATAACCGGGCTGTTCGGCGGGTGGCGATACTTCAAAAGGGCACTCCGTTCCGGAGTCGGGACTTGCGAAAGATGGACCGGAAATACGGAATTGTACTCCCGTTCTGGGGCACGGATTTACGCACTGGGGATTTCCCAGCAAAGTACCTACTGGCAGCAACAACGATCTTGTCAGGATTGCATCCTACTATCGCAAGGATTTTTTTGGGGGATAGTATAAAAGAAAAAGTCTACGTCAACCAAGAAGAGGAAAGTCCACTAGACAATACTGCGCTACGGTCCATCGCGGCCGGCCTATATATCAACAGGCGCCGTGGTTATAGTTAGTACAATAAGCTCGAACGGTGAGGACGGAGGTCATCTCTATAAAACTTACTGAAATAAAATAAATAGATAGTTTTTTTATATTTTTTATATTCGCTAACTTGCCTCAGCAGACAGACTCTTGCGTACGCGCATTCTTGCGTAGGCTGGTCTGCTTGAGCGCATATCCGCGTAAACGCCTTTGCTCACGCACGTTTCTGCATACATAGATATTCTAAAGCAGTTTTTTTGCGTATGCAGCTAGTCTCCAGGCTTGACTAGCACATGATCCGTATGGGAGCAGATCCAGGCGTTGGTCTCATGATTGTAAGCCGAACCGTCCACAACGCAAGCTTTCCATTTGATTCGCAGTTAAGTCAGAAACCTACCGGTATACTCTTGGGACTTCATATGTAGTAGTTGTCAATGGAACAGGTTTCATAGGCAGGGTGAAAAATAGATTGGAAGCTGAATAGGTTCATGTCTAGGCACAAGGTGAAAAGATATAGCATGAAGAAAACAACGCGCTACTACAAAAGGGCTTGGTCGATACCTTCGACACCGTCCTGGAACCAAGACCCGTACTTGTTTGGCAGTGCACCGATATTTTTGGCATACCAGTAAGCCTACCGTACTAGTACGAATATTATACTGGTACGAATAGTTTAGGTCCTCGAACAGGCGAGTTGCCATACTGGGACAAATAGCATACCGGTACGAACAGCATGCTGGTACGAACAGCATAACCGGTACTGATTGCTATATTAGTACGAGAATGAACTGCCATACTGGTACGAGTTTTTCAAGTTGTATACCAGTGCGGCACCTTAGGGTACCGTTTTGTTATTGGGATGCTTTCCGCACCTTGGAATTCCGGTTGTAAGTCTCAGCTTCGCCATGAACCCTTTTCTTGCGGCGTCGCGCCGCTTGCACAGTGCGATCTCTCTTTCCTCTTCTTTGCGTTACGTCTTATATCTCAACCTAACCCTACGGGTCATCATAAATTATCTATTACTTTGACCCTACTCTCTAGAGTCGTGACCCTCGCACTAGTACGGATATTATACCAGTTCGATTAGTCTAGGTCTGAACTGTCACACTAGTACGAACATTTGAGGCACGTTGCTCTTTCCCTCATGTACCCTCCTCAGGATTACAAGCTGGGTCTTCTACTTCGAGCTGGCGGTAGCTACCCCGTTCGCATAAGTCTCGCTGTGTTTTGAATCTTGAACGCAGATACTTTCATATGTATGCTTTCGTTATTCCATGCCATAAATTCTGAATCTCATAAGAACGCTTTTATGACATAGTCACATATATAACAGTACCACATAGTCCATAGGTGCGCCTTGCGTTTATTCACACCTCGTCGTTGGCTGGCAGTTTCCCATCTACGCCAGAAGCACGCCTCCTAACCTCGTTCGGGGTCGGCCTCCTCCCCGTCGCCTCCCGCGCAGATGATTGTCTTTCAGTATTGGCTCGACGTGCAGTGTGATCTTTGGCCGTCCATGAATCCCGCGGACCCTGAGTGGTGGTGCCCATCTCAGTACTTGACAATGCCCCAAAACGACTGCGATAACGATCTGTGGATATCTGTCGAGCAGTTTCGTCCGTGAACGAGCCGATCCACTGCGCTGAGCCGTTCGTAGATGTAGCCTTCTTGACGTCAAAGAGGTCTGCCAAGGTAGTGATAACTACTTGGTCGCTTTCGACGTCTGCAATCAACTCACCAACGCGATAAATTCTCTGCTGGGCAACCGTCTCAGAGGCCGCTTTACAGACCTCTAGACACTTCTTCGAAGCCTTGAGGTCCTCCTCTAACCGTGATTTCTCGCTTTCATCTTGACTTGTCCCATTCTGGGGTAAGGACGCTAAGCGCTCTTGCAACCTGCCGATGGTCTCGGAAAAGTTGTCCCGATTTTCGTCGAGTGTTCGGCGTATCATCAGCTGTGCTTCGAAACGCATCTGGTCGCTTCCACCGTTGGTCCGGGGCAGTTGTTGCTTTAGAAGGTCCCCATCGCTCGCCAAGGTTTCAAGATAATGCTGCGCATCCTCACAGATCCGCAGGCATCGCTCTGTCACAACCCGCTCATCCTCAAGGTCTGTGGTGGTGCCAGAGGCATCCATGTTACCTGCAATTCCCCTAGTCAACCCATCCATCTTTTCGTCAATGCGCTGTAGTCGAACATTAAGGCGGTACATGGTATCCATGATCATCTCATTGTATTCCTCGAGGACTTCCTGAGAAGCTTGAGATGTTTGCCTAACGTGATGTAAGCTACTGTAAAATGAGGACTTGAAATCAACAGGATGGGCAACCAACATGGTGATTGTACCGAGGCCTATCGAGATTGTTTCTTTGTAACCCGACAAAGCGTCCAAGAAATCGTTGATGTCGCCCCGCATGAACTCCATCTTTGCCCAATCTCGGAAGCCCACTTTAGACTTCCCGCTGAACACTCTCAAGGCTTTCTCGAAGTCGTTACATAATTGGCTGCATCGACGAATGGGGTCTTTGAGAAGGACCATCATGGCGGATTCCGTTTCGACGACCTTGTGTAGCGCGTCAAGGATCCGTAAGAAGTCCTCGAGCTCGGCTTGTAGTCGGGACAGGGTCCTATCCCGACCTTTGTAGCGACTGACAGTTTCGACAAGCAACTTTACAGACTGAGCGGCTGTCGTCAGTAGCGCAAGCACAGACGTGGTGATGCTCAAAGGGTCCGCCATGCTTGGAAAACGTTGCCAACCTAATACCGTGTCTGCTTGGGCTGGCCGCGTCGCAGACATGAACTGTGGCGGGGGAAGTCAATGATGATAAGCAGTGAATTTATGTTCGAACCGCGGGCCCGTTGCTGCTTTAAGCCACACTTTGGTTGGCGCACTTAGCGCCGCGCTCAACCTAGTTGTGCTGCAGGCGGAGGTCTTGTGGGCCCCACCCGCAGGTGATACCCCTACGGAGTACAAATTGGCGGGATGCCATGCTTGTCGTTCTTCTGCATGAAGGTTGGGCGATTCAACCTTGTGCTTCCCCATCGCTTAAGTGCCTCAAACACCGCAAGAGTTCCCGCTTTCCGTGATGAAATCTTGACTTGGTGACAAGCGTAGCGAGACTGACGCCGGGCTAACTTCCTCGGCTGCATGTCTGGATTCGTTGCTATCCGCGTCACATTGGTATGGTGAGAATGGTACGATTATGGTGGTGAAAAAAGTCAAATATTCTGTAGTGACTTCTTCGCGAGAAGGAGGGAGTCCTCAGGAGGGGCCAGCTACCCGGTGAGCAATTGATCAGAGGTGATCCTTGCTGGTGTCTGGCTCGCGGGTTGGATTGAACTGTCAATCCGATTGGTGCGTTATGGGCAGTGCTCTGCGTCGGCCAGATGAAGGCGCCAGAACCCTACGCCTCAGCTGCATCGATAGAAGTATCGTTCGGCCTGTTCCGGTATCATGGCCATTGCCCCTCTTTTAGCTCATCATTCTTCTTTCCTGCTACTTCTGCCTTTCGAACAGATCGACTAGATCTTTGCCATACCTAGAGCAAAAGTTTGACGGGTACGAATTACCATACTAGTACAACCAGCATACTAGTACGAACAGTAACATTTCGTTACGACAACTTTTGGTCGCGGTACTCTGCCATAGGTATACTTTCCATACCTTTAAATTCCGGTACCATATTTCTTTATCGTCCCTAGGATGGTGTTAAGGGTATCACGAGTCTAAGATCTACTATAAGCCCTTTCTTTAAGGCGACGTACTACTCGCATAGCGCGATCTCTCTTTCCTCTTCTTTAGGTTATTTATAGACCTGACACTACGGGTCACCGTAATTCATTTACTGCTTTTAACCTACTTTAGAACCGTAATATTCACACTCACTTCTCATATCTCTTGGAATTTACGCTCTTATAGTTATCTGAGATTCTCTTAGGCTATTTGTCTTAAAAGAGGCCTGCCTAACATGCCGCTATTAAGGGTTCTTAAACGTTTCCTTCCTCACGATTTAGAATCTCAAGCATTCCTTGCTTTGTAATAGATTTTTTTAAAGAAGGAAGTGCGTCTCTGTTAAAAGCCTTGTACCGTCTTTTCTTTAGGTATTCTGAGTGAGTTTCCCTAGTCACTTCAACCTATAGCACTGATCTCACTTATACGGAAACACTTATTGACCCTCATATAACTAGCCCAGCCGTGCCCCAATAAAGGGCACTGGAAATAATATTACTAGGGGCCAGTACTTAGTTGAGCATCTCAGCATGCTCTTAAAAGCACACACCTCAATGTAAGTATCAACGGCGAGCTTTTTTTTTTTTTTTTTTTCTTTTTGTATTATACTGGCTAGACACATTCTATGATAGCCTTAATGTTGCCTACTGTAGAATGATAGCGTACCTTGTGTTAATAAAGGAGTAACTGCCCATTACCATAGCTTCTTACCCAAGGCCTGAACTCACTACAATCAAGTCTCACGAACCTCATGAACTTTCGATTGTTGAACAGTGTGTTAATGCTACAGTGAAAGCCATCGCCTAAGGTATACTACATACATGCTCGAGACTGGACGCTGCGACTAACAGCACCCAAGGTGAATGCAATCCAATGAATGCCTTCTTTGAAAACCCATTTTGACTCCCGTCGACCGTCATGCTGTAGTTGACAAAACAACGTAAAAGAAAAACCCTGTCTCGCAACAGCCCAATGTCTTTTTTGCTTGTCAGAAAATCATGTCCCTTGAACCCGCCCGAAAACGCCGTCTAGGTTGTTGCCCTTTTTGTTACGAGGTTGCATCCCTCTCCATACCCCCATGCTCTTAATATGTTTCGGGGGGTCATCGACCTTTTTTGTGGTTTTTGTCGCCATGCGCTCCTGTTGGCATTTAGTCTCTTACGTCCGATGAGACCGAAGCCGTTTTTATGTCCGAGTTCGGTGGCACAGCAGCGCCAGGCATCGATTGATCGTCCGCGTCAGCAGTAAGCCGCCCGCCCCGACCATTAAATCCCCGAGTTCGCACCCTTCTCCGGGACTTGCGGACTTTTGGGGCCTTTGGTGGAAGGGTGCCAGACTTATCAAGTGGCGGGGTCTGCCCGCCCACCAGCACCTTACCACGTCTCAGCAATGTACTGGCCGGCCTCCTTCTTGAGCTCCCAGTACTTCTTGGCCTCCTCACGCTCGAGGTTGCCCTTTTGTATGGCAACGTCGACGAGAGCCTCTTCAACGCCCTCGCCCATGCCCTTAGTGCTTCCGCACACGAAGACGCGACCGTCGACGGCATTGGCTATGTACCATACCAGGTCGGCCTGGTTGCGCACCTCTTCTTGGACGTAACGACTCTCGCCGCGACGGCTCTGGACAACACGCTTGACCTCGTCCTCGTGAACGCCCCACTCGCCACTGTAAATCTCGTCGACGAGCGAGTCGCGGATGCCCTGGAGAACCCAGACCTTGTTTGCGCAGTTGGCCGTCTTCAAGCGACGCTGGACGAAGCCTCTGAACGGAGCGATGCCAACGCCAGCACCGATGAGGAGCATGGGGCCGTCGGAGACGAATTGCTTGGCCAGAGGGTTGGCCATGAGACCCTTGAACATGGGGATGTGGATCTCTGGGGTTTCTCCGTTGCGCTTCGCCTCCAACCACTTCTGGGCCTGGCGCTCGAAGAAACCGGAGCCGATACCGGTACGGAGACCGCGACGCCAGTCAGCTGTCTCATGAACCGTGACGGCAATCTCGATCAGCCGATGCACCTTGCCATCGCGCGTTTTGTAAGCGTCGTGCGGGTCGTTGGACAGAGAGTAGAAGCGCGGCATCAATGTCTGCAGGGAAGACAGCAGGAGGTCCATGGGTGGGTGGGAGCTGGGGAACGCGTGCAAGAGCTGGGAGAGGGAAACGTGGGGTCCGGTGCGGAAGTCGCAGAAGACGCCCTGGCCTTCGGCGGCACAAAGGTACGTCAACAACTTCTTCTCATTAGGGTCCTCGGCGTACTCGGCAAGAATGCGCAGAAGCTGCTTGGTCGGGGGGTAGGACTGGATATCGGAGCACCAGGTAAGCAAGTCCCGGCGCGTGGTGACCATCTCACGGGCCTGGTCGTCGCCCCACACGGTAGGCCAGCGGCCCTTGGTGGTCTTCATCAGGACCGGCTTGTCCCGAAGGAATCGAGGCACCATGAGGGCGTCGAAAACATCGTCGACACAATCCTTATCGTTGGGTGCCATAACACCAATGGCACCGCCGACCCTGAAGTCCATGTCCTCCTCGCCCGGGTAGCTTGTGATATCGAGGTCGAAGTGGTAGGTGCGCTTCTCGGCGCCGGGCTTAGTCAACTCACGGGTCGAGTCGATGCGGGCGGCGTAGACGTGGTAAGGCGGGTGAGGCTGAACGTATCTGGGGGGCTCTCGGGCGGTATCGATGTTGTCGATTGTGAAGTCCTTGAGCTGGCTCTGGACGGTGGCGAGTGCCTCTGCCGTCTTGTCCTCGCGCGCATCAGCACCCAGAGAAATTGCTGAGTCTGTTGGAGACGAGGCGACGGCAGTAGTCGCAGTGGAACGAGGTACGGGCTCGAAGAAGACGGTTTGCTCGGGCAGGTCGGCGATGTTGGTCAACTTTGTGGGAATGTCGCCAATCTTAAGGGCGAGTGACTTGTACGCGTGGTTATCGGGAAAGGGGATGCTCTCGTACTCGAGACCCTCCTTCTTGGCGCCCAACTTCATGCAACAGCCGCCACCGCAGCATCTCTGGATCAATTGAGCTGTCGATTCGCCCGTGATACGCTGGATGTCGGCAGGGCTCTGGGCAATGAGGCGTGTAGAAGCGCGCCGCCTCCTAGGGACTTGGATTTCCTCATCTTGATCCTCTGACTCTTCCGAGTAGGTGAGGGAGGGTGCGACGGAAGAAACGCTGGGCTCCTCGGGAATGCAGTTGCTGGTAGCCCCGATGAGCTGAGAAGCCATGGCCGTGGTCGCCATCGTGCTGTGCATGGCGATGTTTTTGCGTATGTCGTCGAGGATGTTGTTTAGGTGGCGGAAATACGGATACCGATGACCTAGACGACTTTTGTGGGTGACCGTGGGCCAAAAGACTTTGGCGTAGAGGACGGCGTAAAGTATACGTGAGTGAAAGGATGGAGGGGCGGATAGTCAGTAGGTCCTCAGCATGCTGTGGTGAGAGCGGGACAGAAGGGGTCTTGTAGGAATTGGTGAGTGGCTGTGGGTTGTCAGATGGATGAAACCAGGTTGGGGAATTCTTGATCAGATAAGTTTGATCAGATAAGCCGAGGTGTGTGTGGTGTAAGGTAGGGAAAAGAGAAAAGGAGCGAGAAAGTATCGGGCGGAAGAGTGAGGAATGTTAAGTTTTTGGGACGTGGAGAGGTCGATGAGGTAAACCGTAAAAATGGCGGGAAAACCTGGTCTGGGCCCCGGGAGAAGAGAAGGCGTACGAAGTAGTAGGGGCGTAGGTATCCGTACTTGGTCAGGAATAGGTGAGGTTTGTCGATCTCTAGACCGAGGGAGTACGGTTACTGGAGCAAGAAATGTACTCTTTTTTTTCTGCACGTTTTTAAATTTCGACTGGAACCGGCTGGAAAAGACAGGCACAAGGGCTTGATGATATCCAGGCTGGCCAGTAAGTGAAGGAGTACTCCGTATACTTGCGTACTAAGGTGCGTAACAAATGCAAGGTAAAAAGCGACCAGGTGCAATCGAGTAACAGTGAGAAAAACGAAGAAGAGTGCAAAGTCTCCGTTTTTGGGTTGCGACAGGGGACCCTGGAATGCCCCTGTTGGGCCTAGCCGCCACAGCGGTGGCACCGTGGTAGTGGCCGCAGCCGGACAGTGGATGGGTCGTTCTGTTCACACTGTCCACATGCCGGAGATGCTGGCACTGTCCAAGGTACGTATCGCTTTCAGGCTTGGCTTGGCCCCCAAAGCGGCGGCGACGACGGGCTGCGCATCATGATTTGATTGCTGATTGATGACCTGAGCATGCAGAGAGCATTTGTTCATCTTGGGTAATGTGCGACACTGATAGCCGCTGATGACTGTAACACCAGCATCACCGTTGACTAAGATTCAGCCTTGATCCGGGCACATTTTGGTTGGCACGGTTGGATAAACAGAATATTACATACAATTTGCGGGTACTGTCGCAATGGACTGTCATGACATGCCGTTACCGAGCAAAAGAAAGAAATATGTGAGCATGCGTCACGTCAATTCCAGCACATCCGAGCTCGCACTCGCGCTCGGGTGCTTTCCACATTTCCATTTGCTTTTCAGGCTGCTTTCGCCCAAGATGCCTTGCCTTATCAATCAGATTAGTAGCATCGGAAATGCAAAGCACTTGCAGAAAAACCTAAGGAAGTCACGGTCCACGGGCACCAAACACGAGACCGCGCGCTGGGTCCTTTTTGTGTTCCTAGTTCCTAACAACCCCTCCACTTTTGCTCTTGGCCGATGTCGCCCGCCCCGATGACGAGGAGACTTGTGTATTGAGATAGGTACCTTCTGGCATCTGCATTGTCACCATCCCATTCATTCAATTTCCTCGGTGCTTTCTTTTCCAAATCGACATCTCGGGCTCAGTCTCTCCTGCAGCGATTGAACCTCGGGACGCGTCGACACCAACGTCAATGCCATGCCCGGCAAGGTAGGTAGGTAATTGGTTGTCACAGCCCGAGGTGCAGTGGAAGGCATTGCATCTCCTATCTTTTCTCCTTCCACATTCCGATCCGCTAACGTGGAAGGTACGAATTTAGTCACTCGCTCCTTCTTGCCTTTCTTCCACACCACTCTAGGTACGTACTGCTATACATGGTTCACCCCACTCCACCCGCCCCTACCCGATTCATCCTCTTTTCCCGGCTTTTCTTGCCCGGCTTTTCTTGCCCGGCTTTTCTCATTCTTCTTCCGCCTGGCTCTTTCTGTCTCTTGTCACTTCCCGTCGCTCCTGGCCGAGGTGATGGGAACCGAGCCGGTTGCCGGAAACCAAAGGTAAAATGAGGTAAGCTGATCCGCTCACCCACTCTTGTTGGGCTTTCTAACCACATCATACATGTGTCACAGTAGAATATCCGTACGAAGTACACCACCATACGCAGTAGACTGCTCGCTTGCGCTTCGATCCTCACAGTGCTAGGGTCGCCGCCCATTTCTGCTGCATTGCGGTGGACTCTTGTCCCGCACAACTGGAAAACCTGACGATTCACTGTTCCCCGTATTTGCACATCCAACGACATCGCACATTGCTGCATCGCATATCGCCGCCACAGAACAAGAGTGTGGGGTTTTCTCGCCCGCTTGCGCACTCCAAGATCCATCTTGCTGGTCCGTTATGCTGGGCCCAACTTGCTCCGGACTCGCTGGCCATTGAAAGAGCCCTCATTTCACCATACCCCCTCACGATTGCGCTCTCCCGTGATGCTATCCAGCTACCATCGTGCAGCACCGGCTACGCACGATGAGGTGGCCGCACCCCTCACTTTCACCCGCTCGCTGAGATAGCCGTACAGAGTCCCGATACTGTCCCTCCACCTTCGGAGATGGACAACACGGCAGTCTCCTGCACCTCCCGCGGCACCACTTCAACACGCTCCGCGGCACCAATGCAGCAGCACCACCAACTTCTCCCGGTCTTGATCTTCAGCTCCGCCGTCCTGTCAAAGGAGCCCCGTCTACAGTGTGCAGACCTAGAAGCCCCTATTACGCTATTGCAACGTCGGAAGCCCTATCTCTGCGAATCGGGGTCCTGCCACGACCCCAGACTTGCCCTCCAGGCCCTACGTACCACACCACGCACTCCTAAACAGTGCGTTCCAGCACGTTGGGAATCAGCCACCCCGGAGTCGTCAGAGGCATTATTGCTCGGGCATGCCTTCTGTTAAGCGGTAGGGTTCGTCCCTCCACAACAATGGTTACCCCCAGGGCCCCAGACATTCTTGGGCGAGCTCAGCCCCCCGTCACGAATTGGACCCAACGTCTTACCGAAGCAATTTCTTTGCGCACCACGGTCATTCGATGAGAACAGCACCACGGCCAGGCCCAAAAATAACGACTTGCAATACAATTCACCGCTCACCGAAAACCAAAAGGAAAACACGCCAAGCACGAGCAAGACTCGGTCAAAGGCCCTGTCGAGTCAGCCCACAATGCCGAGCCATGAGCCGTTGGGTTGCCACTCCTTTCCGCCGGCTCCCTTCTAAGTTTTTTTTTTTTCCAAAATCGCACACTGTATACCGGTTCCGCATGGCAAACCTACCCTACACAACAGAGTCTCCCCCCATGCTGGCCGTCACCATCTGATTGTTGCGCATCAACTGTCAAATCCCAAGAACCACCAGCATCGGCTCCGCGTGCAGACCTCCATGCTGCATAATTGACGAAAGGTGTCCCGCGGAATGCAACGCTGGTCACCCGCTCCTCTCCTAGGTAGGATTGGGCAAAATTCGCCGGATTCCGTAAACACGCGCCCCGGCTGCCGTTGCCGAACCGAGGAATTCCGGCCGTCTCCCCATCTCTAGACTCGGGCAACGACGGTCGGCTCTCAACAAGACCGCTCACGTGAGCGTATCAGAGTTCTGATCTTCTGATGCTCTCGGTCCATCCCAAGATGCTCTTAGACTTTGCATTTGGGTTCGCAATGCTGTCTGCTCCATAAGATACCGCGACAAAACTTCCTCTGGGCTTGCCTTTCACGCTTCGACCGCCCATCTCCGAGGTGGTTGCACAACACAAAACGTCACGAGCAAAGCAGATCGGCCGCGTTGAACCGGACGACCAAACGAAATGAGGGATGCTTCATCTCGTGTTGCCCCAATGGACCAACCATTTCCGCACCTTGCTTTTCCTGACGGCATGCCACACGCACTGAACCATCCGATCCCTGTCCGTGACCTTTACATCCAATCATGACGTCCAGCCAATTCAGCTGGGGCTGTTTGGCTTTTTCCACCGGACCAAACCAAGACACACCCCAATCTTATCGCACATTATCAATCTCATCAAATCAATCGCATCTAATCTGATTGTCCACAATCTCCGAGACCGGCTGCTGTCAAACCCCCGGTCGACACCACGCTAGCAAATCCTCCCAACGCAAACGAGCAAGCACACCTGAAATCTCAAATGAGAGACCTACGCGGTGTCGCGAAGCAGGGCCCGCTCGCGTCTCCCTGCGCGTCTAGTGATGTCTCATCTTCATTTCGAGCTTGTCGCGAGCGTTCTCCTGAGGCTCCGGCCTGAGCTCCCGTCGCTAGTGTAACCCTCGACTTACTCCACTAACGCCAATACCATTACCCAGCGACATGGCATGGGTTCGATCTGATAACTTTATTCGCTTCTCCTACTAATTACAGCGGCCAACTGATCAACGCCTTCGCAAGTTCGGTCTTTCAATCGCTCGCCTCTTCGGTGACCGACCTCCCACCTCCCCTTGACTGTTTCAACCGTTCCCAACCAATTCTCACCCTTTGAGGTTTGTCCGCGCGGATCAGCCGGATTCCTTCCCCGTCGACATGCCCTGTCATGTTTGGGTTGGAGCTTACATCCATCCGGATGTCGAACCTGGCTCCCGAAACTAAACTGAAATCCTGCTTTCTGCGTTTCTCTCTCTGATTTGCTGGTCTGTCGACCAGCAGTCTGCCCAACCGCAAGGCATGCTTCGTCAGTGTTGCTCTGCGACCAGCAGTAAATGCAGCATGGGCAACAAGAGCAGCAATGCCGCTGCATTCTTGTTCCATAACTACGTACAAAGTGGTCGCTCACAGTTGGCGACCTCAGCCCCTAACAACCTGCTACCCTACTTGGTTCTCTGACCCTGGTATCGTGGGGCGCTCTGGAAAGATTCTTTCTAACCAGCCTCCTTGTCCGCCCCAGCATGCTCGTGTTCGCACGTGAGCTCTTCGCACGCTCGGCACCCACATCGGCATGGTTCGTCGATCTCTCTTCACAGTGCGACGAAGCGTACATCTCCACGCTGACGGGCACTGCGCCAGTCCCTATGCGTTCCTGCGTCTCCGGGGGACTTGTACCCCTGGATGCCGGTCCATCGAAACTCTCACCTAGCTCAAGCCCGGCCCCGGGCCTTCTTGCGACTGCTGCGTGGTCATCTCGGCTGGACTGCCGGCTACCGTCTGACCAGGCATGTGCCTCTACTCCTTACATGGTGGGCTAGGGAGCCACGAAACGTACCGGCAATTTGGTTGAAGCAGGCTCGTCTTCGAGCACCCTGGCCTCCTTCTCATTACGCCTGTCTTCCCCCGAGGCTTCCAGAAGGTATGGAAGCGAGATGATGGTGAACATGGCGATCTGGGCCTTTGACCTTGATCAGAGGTTGGGCTACGAGTCTCAATGACCGAGCCCGGGCCGACGATCGAAGAGACGGTCTCGGGGAGCTCGTGACTCAGGGGTTGTGGTCTGCCCCAGGTGTTCATCTCTGAAGTACGAAGTTGTAGTCGAGACAAAGTGATGATTCTTCAGCCACCATCTCAGGGGTTCGAGAGCCACCAACTCTCCTGATTATGTGCAGCAGCTGTCAGCCACAGACAGCTCTCGTGAGGCGTCTCTGAGTGGCGAGGAGAGCACCGTAAGACGGATTGCTCTAACGGGTCATGAGTGGTTTTTCTACTGAGGCTAGCTGTCACGCACCCCAAGGGCCTTGTTGATCGCTTACTACAGCGCTTGTCCATCAACTGAGACCAGTGCCGCACGAAAACGTTGAGCTCGGGAGCGAGCAATTCACTCTCAGCATGCTATCCCATCCCACCACTGAGCCAGGTGGTTGTCCGCCGAGAAGCATTACTACATACCTTCACAGCTCAATGGGCTTGAGGCAAGATAGAGCTGGTATTCTATATTGATGCCCATGAGTCACAGCACAAACTGAGACTGACATCCTTCAGAGTTCAGACGTTAGGGGTAACGACTCGGGCCAGCCTTGCGCCGAGGTCATTCTCTCCACGTGTACATGACAAGAGTTAGGTCCGATAAACCGAAGCGTCTCGGCTACATGAGAGAGCAGCATCGCGAAAGCCGAGTAATGGTCTGTGACCCCCGGCGTAACTTTCACTGATGGTAGGCTTGCGCCCGACGGTACATGATGTACTAATTATTCGCTATATCCTATCCCTTTAGTAGCCTACATGTCCCCGAAGGCTACGGGCCTGATAAGCTCTTCTAGATCCCGAGCTTAGCGAGGCTGGAGGTGCCCTTTGGCGATTGCTCAAACGCTAAAGAGGAGCAGAATGCACCGCATTCAGTGAGAAGAGCCTACGTGGCACTCTTTTGTTGTCAAGTTTATCGCATCTACGCAGAGACCAGATTCGATCTTTGTATAAGAGCAAGAGGGGGGATGTTGCAGATTGATCCACATTTCATACATTGTATGCTGGTGCAAACATCATCCAAGTTGATGCCAAACCCAAAGGGCTGCCCTTGTCGTCAATCTTTGCGACTCTTGGAGGGGGAATGATGCCAACCATGCTCATCCGACGGCTTTTTTGTATTGCAGCGCAACGTTCGGGGGTGGTTCCCCAGTCGCCTAGGGATGAAGAAAAGGTAGCAACTGCCCTACCGAGACACTATTCCCAACCCCTAAATCGAGGTGCAGGCTTAAGCTTGAGGCGGACACGATGGATATGCAGGCAGACGGGATAACGTCTCGCTATCAGATATCTAGAGCGATTGCTTTCTCGAATCCTGTCCCTAAGTGAACGCCGCCATCACGGGATAACTAAATTAAGAGAGAGGGTTGAATCTACATCTAAAACCACCTTTCCCCTGCTAGCAGCCTTCAATGTTCTGATGGCCAGAGATGAAGCTCTGTCTGCCCCCTTTTTTCAATTCCCCTTAACTCCCCATTCTTCTTACATTTCCTTAAAGAGGGCTTCTTGTAAACAGCGGTACGATGCGCTATTGCAGTACGTCCTGGCTGGCCCACACTCTATCCGTCTGCATAGGGTAATTAACTATTTCTAGGCTCCAATTGAAGGGTCTCTTTCTTCTCAGCGGCGGAAAAGCTGACGGAGTTATTTTGTTAAATATATCGAGTACGGATTAGCTAGGGAGATGAACTATAGATCTAGGGTGATTCAGGGGCACTATAGCCCGCCTTAGAGCTCTCTTCCGTTTTTTTAAGAGCCTATCAGTTTAGACACAGAGACAACGTAATATAAAGAAAAGCATCTCTAAAGTAGCGAAGTGGGTTCACTCACTTACATTGGTTTTCTTTTTACTTTCTCCACTTCTTCAGCTTTTACAGCCTACCTTGTGGACTATTAAACGTAAGATAACTATAGCTATAGAAGCCTGCTTGTACACTCCTCGCGCCCCCGACCTACTCTTCTCCTTTGATCGTAGAGGTTGACGACAATCAGAACATAATGGTAGATGCTTTTAAGTATTCTGTCAATGGCTTTCATAAATATGCTTCGACTGAAAGCTCTGAAATAAGAGAAATTATTAGTCCTAAAGACAGATTTCATACTATATTTTGTCTACGTGAGAAACAAGAATGATAAAAGGTTACTAATAAGGTAAGGTATTCAACACAAATGGGAGAGGCTGACCTATAACTATTGAGACCTCCTCTAACTTCTTCGACGTCACCCCCCCCCCCCCCAGGTATACCTAACGCTCTCAAATCCTTGTGTCGTGAAAGAGCGTCTAAAGTCATGAGAGAAAGAGACGATATCCGGACTCGAGATAGGGCCCTTGCCCACTGCGTCTTAAGCTACAAGACTGGACACGTTCGAGTCGGGAACATCGGTAGTGGACTGTTAGGGGGCATCTTGTATAAAGAGATAATGATTGCGTACAAGTCTCTTGACCACTAAGATCGAGCTGTTCGAGTTTCACGAGCGGATTGGGCTGATCGAGCTTGCCGAGCTTGCCGAGGGGCGAAGAAGTATAAGAAGTCAAAGCAGCAGCGGAAGCAGCAGCGGGAGCAACAGCAACGTGAGGCTCGCTGAGAGCGTGTTCCGGCCGGGCGAAAGGCAATCATAGCTTGGTTCTCGAGCTCGGGGTTGATGGGAGGATAGTTCTCGGCTTGGATGGTATCGTTCTGGCCCGGAATAAAGGCAGCCGATGGGTTTAGTAGTTTTGTCCACTTTTTTCTCACTTCTCGGCCTCGTTCGTCGCTAACCTTATCGTTAACGAATACGTCCGGTATAGTACTGGGGTGTAAACGACCCCATCCCATTAGATTACTTCCGGGTAGTCATAAGTGAGAAAGAACGAAACAGCATTATTGCTAGAACAAGGTATAGTCGACGGTAAACTTTCAAAGGACTAGGGGGTAGTAACTAATTATTACATCTATAATTATTAACGAGAAACACATTCTTTCTCCATCTCTTATAGTCGTGTCTTTGTCATCTAGTTTCATGACGCCCATCCAATACCCTTCCCCTTTATAAAGGTCAGTCATATCGCCTCGAGCAAGTTATCTAAGCAACACTGAGCTGTCGGAGCTTGCCGAGACAGAGGTAGCTGGGGTGATGAAGTGATAGTGTCTCCTCCCTCTTATAGCCGAGAGAAACGGCAGTGTTGAACGTAGTGATGTTTACAGTAGTTCACTTACAACTCACTCACTCCTTCACTCGTCCTCCTCCTCCTTATTAACGTGCCTCCTCCTCCTCCTCCTCCCCTTCCCTCCTCCTGTCTCTCGCCACTCGTCTCCCGCCTCCTGCCTCTTGCCTCCCGCCTCGTCGCTAGAATTACCGTGAACGAATACGACGAGGGTTAACGAAGATGTCTAACGTCAGCATAGTTACTCGGGGGTTTAACAAAGATGCCCGAAATCAGCAAAGGTTCAACGCCGTTCCTTTCAAGTGTGGTCCCGGTGCTAGTCGCAACGCCAAAGGCAAAAAGCGTCGTCCTGCCAAGAAGAACAACTCTGCCCGCAAGGGCAAGGCTACTGCGAGTGCTCACGGCAACATGAACGGGGCGGGGGTTGAGAGTTTTATACTTGGAGATGAACGAGAATATTCGACGGGTTTAACAAAGATGTCCGAAATCAGCAAAGGTCGATGCCATTTCGTTTAAGCATGGTCCCTGGTACAGGCTGTCCTAATGCCAAAGGCAAGAAGCGTCGTCTCGGCAAGAAGCGTAACTCTGCCCGCAAGGGCAAGGCCACTATTAAGTCCGGCCGCAAAGCTGCTGCGGGTGCTCACGGCAACATGAACAGGGCGGGATTGTCGTTAAGAAATATACTTGGAGGTGGAACGGGTGAATGGCAGTTTTAGGGGACGGATGGAAATGTTTGGGATTGACAAATACGCTTTGGGTCAACGAAGATGCTTGGAAATAACAAATTCACCGTGAGTCAACGAACATGTTTGGGATCACTGAACACAGGGAGCAATGAGGAATGGTTGACTATTCTAGACTTCTAACTTCATCAATGAGGAACAAAGACATTAGCAGGAAAATCCCAAGAGACTTTGCACCTATGATCAAAGCAAGCATCCAGGCCGTAAAGACGGACCCCAAGAACCAAGTAACGAGCATATCACAAAAAAACACCCCAAAGACCCCCCTTTCAGCTCCCTACTCTTCATCTCCCGAGCTTCTTCACTGACATGAAGCCGTAAGCCAACTCAGATTCTTGAGAGGGAACAAGATCACTTCACCAAACCTTCAAGACTCTTCTTTATGAAATGTAACGTCAACTTCGGACTTGAATAACCACCGTTCCTATACACGGTATCTTTACAATACGTACACTACCCCAAACACGCCAATAAATGACTTCGGTATCATGTGTAACAACAAAACGAAAGGCCCTAAACAAAACAAAGCTGCCAGCCCCCAAGCTACTCCTTCCCTCACCGTTGGCCAACCCCCATGCCATGGTCCCGAGTGTATATATATATGTTTAAACCTCCCGTATGTGAACCCAGCCCAGCCCAGCCCAGCCCAGCCCAACTCCTCCCTACCCGGCCACCCCATCCATCCCTCGGCCGAAAACACCTTCCAAAGTAATTCCAAACACGCTATGCCGCCCTAATAGCCAGACGCCTAAAGCCAGGTTCTAGCAATGCACGAAATGCGAGCCATTCGCTCGTGTGGGGGGAATCATAATAAGACAGAGAAAAGAGAAAAGGAAAAAGAGAATGATGGTATAGACAAAACAGGAAAAAAAGAAGAGAGACGAAATCAGTCTCGAAGTTCCACGCCGACCTCCTGGTGGACGAGCCTCAACACCCACGAGGCCTCCGAGGCGCTGGAACACTGGAAACACCACTTCTTGACCGAGCCGGCGGCGCCACCCGTCTTGGGCGCCACGCCGATCTCGCCCCTCTCATCGCGGATCTCCTCCCAGATACCGCAGATGATGCCTCGACTGCCCATAGGAGTGAAGCAGCCGCTGCCCAGCACGGCATCGAGGATGATGCGCGCCTTGTCTGATTTCTTGGGCATGGTTGTAACCGTGACGCGCTTTTCGAGGCCGTGGTTTGCGCGTAGGTCTTGGTGCCAGCCCGGCGGCGGGCGGCGAATCTGGATGATGCAGTTGCCGTAGTCCTCCCACTTGTTGGAGCTGACAAGCAGGTGTAGGCGAATCTTGATATTGTCGGATGACAGAGGACTGCGGATAGAGTTGGAGTACATGCTGATCGATGGTGAGCGGGGGTAGCCATCAGATGACGAGCCAGATCCGTAGAGGCTGTTGTTGTTGGAGGAATGGCCCTGCTTGTCGATAGACGAGCGGGCAATGTTGAAAGCGTTGCCTTGCGTGAGTCTCTTGAGGAAGCTCGTGGCAGACAGACTCGACGAGGGGGTGCTTCCCTCTTGCGATTGGGATGGAGCGCGGGTCGATGCGCGATAGCTGTTTTTGCGTCCGAACCAGCTGCGACGACGACTGCTGTTGTCCTCGGTATCTTCTGAGGGTCTCTGGCCGAATGACTGATAGCGTGCCTCGTTCTCGAGCTGGATAAACTTTTGGTTGTTGAGGCGGGCATGGTGAACGGCCATGTACAAATTGTAGCATTCCGTAGCCGATGGGCAACGGAAACGGAAGTTGCCTCCACCGATATCCTTGTTCTTGCAGTTGTCCTTGACGGCTGAGCGGATTTCCAGGTCGACAACGGTAGACTGGCGGAGGAGGACGAGAGGCGTAAGCTCGAGAGACACAAGAGGGATGTCGGGTTCTCCTCCGGGGCTCATGACTAGAGAGTAGCCCTCAATGACACCGGCTGTCACCTGAATGGAGCAGGGCTCCAGGGAAATGTCCTTCCACTGGCCCTTCTTCTCGTTCCAGTACGAGATGGAAGCAATGTATTTGGTGTAGTTCTCCGAGGCACTCATTTTACGGCCGTGAAGACCGGCTTGCGACGCCGAGTTGGACGGCGTCAGGCTGCACACCGACTCGGAGACCATGGACTCTTGAACGAATGACTGCGAAATCATGGACTCTTGCTTGAAGGAGTCGATAAACTCCTCTCTCTCGCGCTCCCGTTCTTCGCGCGGCTGGTGCTCGGGCTCTCTAATGCTGAAGCCAACCTCAGTCTCGGGGATGTCATCGTCAAAGTCATCTTCGGACTCGGATGACGTGTAGTCGGATTCTGTCTCTGTCTCGCTTTCTGAGAGGTCGGTCTCTGTGACGGACCGAGTCGTATCGGATGATTCTTCAGAAGGCAGATACTCGTGCTTCAGAGGTGAGGATCCCCTACGCTTCACACGGGAGCCGCCAAGATCGACAGGTGGCGACAGCTTGGGGGGCTTGGGGCTCAAAGAGCGGTGGATGGGAGGAGGAGGAGCGCCGTCCGCGCGGTAGGGGGTCGTGTTGGGCGCAGCCCTGTGTCTGTCCTCCTCATCGTACGAGTCTTGTGTAGGGGTTCTGTCTGGAGAGGGACTGCGGCGGATGGGAGTGGTCGGCATGCTTGAGCCGCGGTTGTGGTAGCGACTAGAAACCGATCGCTTGGGCGCGTATGGCTCTGGAGATGACAAGTCTCTCGATGATGATCCGTGCAACTTGCCGCCCACAGGGATATCGGTACGGTGCTGCGGTGAGTCGGGGAGGCTCTCTTCAGTGACAACCGGCAGTCGCTCCTTTGGTGGCATGGGCGACGTGCCAACGATGTCGAGCCAGTCTTCCACTTGGTCATTGTTGTCTGTGACGAGGCTCAGCAGCTCGTACCAGTGCCTTCCGTTGTGGGAGCCCGACACCATAAGAACGAGCTCGAATTTTGCGTCACCACGGCGGGCTGAGATCACAGTCATGGGCATGGGCGGGAAGAGGAGCCATGTACGGCGGCCGCTGCCAGTCTCACGGATGAGCAGGTCGCCCTTGTCATTGTTCGCGCCAGGGAGGTCGCGGTGGATGAGTTCGACCTGGCACTCGAGGCGCTGTCCATTGGAGTGCGCGAGACTGAGCGAGAAAAGGTCCTTTGCGCTGACCTGCCGCTTGGGGTCGATCTTGACGGCTTCCATCGGTGCGAGTGTCCGGAGATTACGGATTCTGCTCGTGTCGGTGTTGATGGCGTCCTCGTCAGCCAGCCGCGCAGACTCTTCCCTGTGGCGACGCTTGGCCTTCTCTTGCAACATATCGTAGTCGCCAACCAGTGCAAGGGTATCGTACGAGCCGACAGCGGCATGAAGGCCCTGCTTTGCGTTAGTGAAGCTCGTTTCAATGCAGTGGGAAATAGTACCTTGGTGAGCTTTGCAAGAGTCCGGATGCGAAGCAATGGCCGTTTTAACAAATGCGCAACGTCGACTCTCTCTCCGTCTTCGTTAACGACGTCGCCTTCGGCGTTGCGCGGGAGTGCGCCGATGAGGGAATCCTCGTCGTCGAGGCGATCGGCAGCAGGAGCCAGGTTGACGACGAGATCTTGGAATCCAAGGCGCCACGCGTCCAGGTAGCTATCGTATATGGGAGAGGCGGTGTGCAGCCAGGAAATGAGCCGATCGATATCCGTATGAGATGCCCTCTTATGGGCAGTCTTTAGTTTTTCCAGTGCAACTCCCATGTTGACGACGGATTTTGACATGCTGTTTGCCTTGCGGCCAGGGGATTCGGGGCCGAAGAGATCGACGGCACTGGCCGAGCCCTCGTGAAGAACAGTAGAGAGGAGGACGGGGACTACGCCGTCGACCAGTGTCTTGAGCTCCCGCTGGTACAAGTTCTCGTCATCTGTGAACTCCTTCATGAGGTCCTTTGTTGTAACCGTGTCTGGACGAGCATTGGCTCTTCGTACGCTGGCAGCCTTTCTTACGCTCGCCCTAGGTTTGATGCTCCGGAGGCTACCTGGCACCTGGCTTTCGTCTGGCAAAGACAGAACTGACACGAGATCAGAGTGTTTAGTCAGCCTTCTCTTGAGACCTGATTTATTGCTCCGCCGCCGCGAAACGTTGCTTCTCGTAAGCCCAGTAGTCTGCGTGATGGTGGTTTCGGACAATACCGATGTCATGTCCGAATCATAGGTGCTATGAGTGTCGGCAGACCCGAGAATCGTGGACAGCTCGTGTACGCCGTTCGTTGGCGGCTTCCGGCGGGGTGCCACCGAGGACTCATCATCATACGTCCAATCGTCGGTAAATGTTCGATCAGAGTAGGTCCGGCTAGATCCAGACGAGCGGCGGCGCATGGTTCGCCTGGATTCGTCATCTTCCCCGGGACTATCATATTCCTGATCCAGCTCCAGCTTTCGCTCTTCTTCGCTAATGTACTTGGAAGGCGGCGTTTGGTGGCCGGTGGACTCTCCCCTGAAGGCCTCCTTGAGGATCTCGCGGAACGGCTTCTTGACTGACTTGGCGGGCGACGGCGAGCTTCTCGTAGCTGCTCTCCGGCGAAGGCCAGCAGCGCCAGCAGAAGTTGGTGTCTTTGGCTTTTCCTTGGGCTTTTCCTCGACATTCCTAGGTGCCACATTTTCGTCATTCTCGGTTGACGCGCTCAGGTCGGTCGAAGATAGGGTTGACTCTGTCCAATCCGTTGATTGTGTAGTCTGAGTCATGTCGGTTGTTTGTGTTGTCTGGGTGGACTCGGTGAGCCCAGTGGATTCCGAAAGCTCAGTCTGAGTCGGAAGGGAAGGCTTCCGCTGACGGGGTTCGGCCGATGACCGTCTACGGGTGTCTTGCGTCTTTGTCTTCTCGACGGGCTTGCTCTCGGACGCTTTCCTCTTGGGGGCCGGCGCGGGTGACTCCTCCTTCTTCGCTGGCTCGTCGACGAAGGGATCGACCGTCCCGTTGAGCCATTTCTCAATACTGGGAGGCTGGTTGGCGACGGGCTGCCTTGGAGGCTCAACGGCGTCGTGCAGGATCTTCTTGCCGCCGGTGACCACCTTCTTGAGCACATCGGCAGCCTTGAAGCTGGGATTGCGCTGTGCCTTTTGCCTCGTCTTGTTGAGAGGCAAATCTAGCTCACTGAAAGCAGAGAATCCCACGGGAATGTCTGCTAGGGGCTTCGCACCCGGGGCGCTGGTGAGCGAGCTTGGCGCAAGATCCGAGTTGTCCAGCCCTGTCTTGACTGCTGATTCCGAGGTGCTGACCCAGGACTTGTCATCTGACGGTGGAGGCGCCTTCTTCTTGTGGCTCACTTTGCGAGCTTTTGACGGTTTCCGCGTTGGTGTTGCCGGCACACTAGACTCGGCATCTTCTGTGACCTCGATGGCGGTCTCGTCCTCTTCAACCACCACGATCTCGTCCGCCGACTCGTGCCTCGCGCTGCCCCCGCGACTACGCTCGCGGGATTTGGCGCCCGTGCTTTGTGGCCTCGGTGTCTTGACGCCAGACCCTTCCGATGCTGGTGTCTTTAGTGGCCTGACGCGGATTCCGTCATCATCGAGCTTCTTCGTTCGTATCGGCGTAACTCTGATGCCGTCGTCGTCCATCGCCTTCTTTGGCAACGTGGCTTGTCTCTCTTGAAGCTCCTTGAGTCTTGCCTGTATCCTGCTGCCGTCGAGCGAGTCTGTTGATTTTGCAGCCCGGTGTTGCTTGACCGGTGGCGGATCTGGCATTTCCACCTTTGCTACCCAGTCCTGGATCTTTTTGGAGATGGGTGCTTGGATGGGTGTCTTTTGCACGAACCCCTTTGGCAAAGGGCTTGGGGTGGGACTTGGGCTGGCGTCTTTGGTTCTCGGCGATTTCGCTCTCGTGGGGCTCTTCTTTCTCTTCTGCGCCATCCAATGGTCGTCGCTGACGACTCGCTTCTTGGGTGCCAGCTTGGCGTCTCCGCCGGGGAGGTCCTCGACGGTCTCGTCCTTTTCGTCGGCCGGGCCGTCATTGTGTACTTCGATCTTTGGGGTCGACATTTTCGGCGCCGACATTCTCTTCTGCCGCAACTTGATGCGAACGCGGTCCTCTTCGGTGACGCTCTCCGTGTCACCCGGGAAGGCCAGCTCGGTAGGCTCGCTGGGGGGTGCCAGGGGATCAGCCGAGGCCATGGCTGCGGCATTCGTCTTTTGCCATTTGTTCACGCGCTCCCTGACGCCGCCGGGCTGTTGTACTTTTGCGACGGCGGCCTGCCGCATTTCGGCTCTCAGCTCGGCCTTGACAGCATCCAGACTCATTCTTCGCTTGCGTTCGGCGGCGACACGCTGTGGAGAAGGGCGTCCTCTGAGAAAGTCGGCGAGCAGAGTCGGGGGTTCTGGTGGTTTCTTCATGGTTGCTGCGCGGGGGCGGGCAGGGACGGCCTTGGGAGTCGTGGGCGGCGCATTGCTTTCTTTGGCGGCGGGAGTGGAGGGTTTTGTGATTGCTGCTGCTGCTGCCGCCGCCGGTGCAGCATCCGGCGATGCTTTCTCGTCGGGAGGTTTGGGAGACATTGTCTACACAGGCAAAAGGTTCAGTCAGCAACAGTAACGAGACCAGTCTGCGGGTAAGCGGTGGACAGGTACGAGTTGGTGTCGTACAGGTGCGTCCCCCCCTCTCTCTTTCCTTTGGGTGAGGTAACGAGCAACAAGGTTGGAAGGACTGACTTAGGTGAGATGCATGCTGCCGCTTAAGGTTGAATGATCTGCTGCGTTCCTATGGGCGCATGTGGCAGAGTTGGAAAGTGAAGGTTGTTGTTGACAGCTGAGGGGTTGCAAGCGGGAGCGCAAATGGAAGCCAGACGTCAGAGTGATGTGTGTGAGATAGAGGCGAGGGCGAGGCTGTATGTCGGTAAGACGGAGAAGAGGCCGACTTTGCAGGCCGTGTAGGTAGACGTTGGTTGGATGATGATAGGTGAGTTGAGGTGAGGTGAGGCACGCAAAACAAAAGGGAGCAGCTCGACAGACAATCCCGTTGTATGTGTGTGATGAAGTCTGTGACTTTGTGTATGTATGTACGAATTAAGGTAGAGACGGTAGAGACAGCGCATATCAAAGCAGACAAGACTTTTCGACTTCTCGTCGAGGAACAGCCCGGGCAGGGCAGGATGGAGGATGGAGGAGCAGTTGGTCCAATCGATGGCTTCGTTGAGCTGGCACTGCCGGAGTAACCAGTGGATGTTGACGCCGGAGCTTAGACATAAACAAACCGACACAGGTGGGGCTGTCCCTATAGAGTACGTACCCTTTACAAGGTTTAGCGGGCTATCAGGTAGAGTTGGTGCCCTCTAGCACAGACATCCCGGCTAGGAGCCAATCAGAGGACATACAGAGGAGTTCAAGGCAGCTGAGGGTTCCAGACCAAGTTCGACATCAGGGACATCAGGCGCAATCCGCAAGAAAAAAACAAGACTTGGTGTCAATGGGAAGCATCGGGACGTGGGTAGGTGAGGTAGCATCAATGCAAGGATTCTTGTTCGCCCTGTCTTCCTTGCTGCCGCTGTGCTGCTGTGCTGCATGTGCTTTCCAGGAAACTCATGTGAATCTGTCACTCTCTCCATCCACACACAGCAAGTTTACTTACCAGGCTTACGCATACTGATATCGTCGGTCTGTCGCTCCCAAATCTCCCCGAGGCTACCAATCTCCCCTGGCGAATTCTAAGGTGGACTATCCGTCCTCATGGAATCCCGCCCCGTCTATCATTTCCCGCCTTGTGCAAGTGAGTAATCTCTCACCTCTAAAGCCCTCGCCTCACGGACTCCAATCCCCTCGCCTAGCCCCTCGCTTCTGCCAGCTAGATCGGATCTCGGATGTTGAAAACCAAGACCCCTTTCACAAATCACCCCTCAACACTCTCAAGTGAGTTGTCGTATGAGAAAGAAAAAACCCCACCATCATTCCCCTTGATCGACGAACCAGGGAAAAGAAGCGAACGACATTCGACTCCGTAATTGCTGCCAATGCTTGCCAACAAATGCAGCTCGTCGGGCATAGATACAGACAAAAAACACGAAGCCAGCTCACTCTGACTCGAATTCAGAAACGAATACGTGTTGTTGTCTTGCTCACAAATTCAAATCTTATTCGAATTCATGACTGCCAGGCAACACGACGACAACGGGGGCATCCTTGAAACTGTGGTTGATAGGTAAGTATACTCCGTAGAGTCCGTACGAAGCGCATGTTTATCATCCTCGCCCCATGTCGCCGTCGTTGTCACTGCCAAACTGTCAGCGGGGGAGGGGGAAGAGCATTGACGCCGCCTCATCTTCTCAACAGGGGCCCCTTGAATTCGGGATATGCAACCCGTTTGTTTACTCGCGATAACAACTTTCTCATATAGCACAAAAATCAAGGTCTCGACTTGATTCCCCCACGGTCTTTTCCAAAATCTCATTCCGAATTTCCCATCTTTTCACTTTCGTTATTATACCCATAGTCTTACAGGTCCGAAACCAAGGCAGCCAAACCACAATGCCCTGTTTTCCCATCCAATAACGCAAAATCGCTACCAAACCACGCACCCATACACAGTGAACATCACAGCGCCCGCGGAATGTCTCGGGCGTATCGCATAGTGTAGCAGCGAAGAAGCCATACGGGCCCCGAACATCACGAGGTCTCTCCCGCCCGCCGCCCAGTCGCACGTGGTGTGGGACCGCCCTCCTCCTCCTCCTCCTCCTCCTCGCCCTTCCGAGTTCCCTCCCTCCCTGTAGAGACTCGAGACTCTTGAAAGTGAGACCTTGCTCCTCCGCAAGACCTCCCGCAGGACCTTGTTTTATCCAGCTCGAGGCTACCGCGTGGGGCCCGCGATCGAGATCTAACATCACACAGCAAAAAAAAAAAGTACGATTCCCCCTAAACCTTGATTTTCTTCGATTCTCATTCCCCCGCCAAATACCATCATGCGAGAAAGTATACCTTGATTTTCTGCGAGAAATTCGAGAAGCGTGTGAGCGGTTGCTCTGCGTTTAGTGTATCACCATCACCACCACCACCACTCTTTTCCCCTCTCGCCTTGCCATTCGCCTTATCTGCAAGCAGACTCAGCTGCTCAAACTAAGAGAGCCGTCAGTCACGCAACGTCCTGCATCTTTCTTGTCACCCGTCAAACTTCATCAACCGCGCAGTAGGCATGCACACCTCACACTAGAGACGAAAGCATGAAGGTTGCGAAAAAGTGTAGATCAGGGTTTTTTTATTCCGCCCTTCATAGCGGTTGCTTCCAATTATGCACCTAAAAATCTGTGTGTGTGTCTGTGCCCCGAATTCCCATATGCCCCCCCTCCAAAGATGCCCGTGTGCCACATCCTTCGGAAAAAGATGGAAGAAATGCTCCAAGACCCAAATTACCATCCAAAATGACGGGCATTGTGCAAAACTCCCATACACCCATGCATGCTGTTAGAAATAACCCCCTACCAGAGGGCGGCGTATACCGAAAGAGAGGAAGGAAATGAAGATGGGAAAGTAAAAAGTGACGATAAACCTCCCAATGCAGATAGAATATGCTTTACCCCAGAAACGCCGTGAAATGCTGTAATGCTTGTACCAGTCGCTCACTCCAAAGAGGGCAACAGGAACCGGACCTTCTTCTTCGCCTTCGCAGCCTGTACGTCTCCGCTCTTGGCTGGACACGCCGCCGCGTCTTCCTCCCTCTCGTCGTCCTCCATGTCGCTCACGGCGCCGACGCTGCTTCCCATCTCGCTCAGGAGCACCTCCTCCGTCTCCTCCTCAATAGACCAGACGTCCGGGCTCGGCTCGCGCCAGACATGCTGCGGTCGATGGTGCCGGTACGACGTCGTCCTCTGCCGGCCCCGCCCACCGCCCGGTCGCACGGGTGCTCGGCCCCGGGTAGGCGGGAACGACGACGGCGAGAGAAGCACGTTGTTGTCCAACGGTGATTGCTTAGAAGGGCGGGACTTTGACTTGGCCATGGACTTGAGGCCGTCGATGGCGAAGTCGCGCAGACTAAAGGGGATCATGAACCCGTGCGGCGCGAAGCGAATGTAGTCTTCCTCCTCGTCGTCCGTGTCCGGCGTGGCTAGGTCCGAGAGGTCGGGTACAGGCGGCGACTTGCTGCGGCCCTTTGACTTGTCCAGGCCGTCCAGGCTTGAGGGGCTCACGCTGCGGACAATCTCGCGCTCGCTGTCGTCTTCGATGCCGGCGTCAAAGTCCATCATGGTCATGTCGTCCTCGTCATCATCCTCCAGGTCAGGCGCGGGTGTGAGGAAGTAGGTCAAGGGGTCCTCGTCAATGTCGTCGAGAGATGGGTAGTCCTTGGGAATTGTAGGGGCGAGGCGCACCAGAGTTGGTGGCCATGAGTCTCGCCGTGAGGGTGTCTTTGGTGTTTGAGGCATCGCGCCGGTTGTTTGTTGAATTGGTAGTAGTTGTGTGTTGGTCTTGATAGTTGCGGAAATAGGCGTCTGAACAGTAAAATCACTGACAAGACGAGTTAGGTCCTCGCCGGTCTGCGCCGGCTCAAAAGTATACCAAACGAAAGTGGCAAGTAGCTTGATCTTGTCTGTGGTTTCAGCAATGATGTGATGCTGTAAAACGTGACAGACCGAGGTGAAGGAACACGAGCTGGAGACGAGGCGGTGTACTCGTACTTATATGTTTCCATCGCAGCCTCAGCCAGGCAGAGGATGTGCAAGGCGGACGTTATCCGACACTGCCTTCACCTACCCACCCACACACGCAAGCACGCACGCACACCGACAAGGTTGCAGGCTGGCTGGTGATTCGGCTCAGTCACGTTAACCCAGCCAAGAGCTGCCTTGTATGGCTGGAAGATGGTGGTCACCAGTGCCCATTGCCCAGTGCAGAGGTCTCAATATCGCGGGGCAGCCAGCCACCATCAACCCCCACGTGAAAGAGGCCTATGAGGAGCGTGACTCCTCACCCGCCATGAGTGTCTGGGAAAAAGCTGTGCAGTGTCTCCAAATGGCCGGGGTGCAGCCAGAAGCAGAGATACGCATCCGGAAATGGTGGTAAGCTGAGGCACCGGGCTGGGATTCGTATTGAAATCTATCCCAATTCCTGGCAGACCGCAAGGAAATCCGGTCTTTTGGTTGCTTCGCGTTCCTCCGTGTGGGTGTGTCGACCGGCGCGCGACTACCGCGGCTTATATGAATAAGCTGAGACAGATTTGCAACCACCACACGTATTGGTTGGAGGCCGAGTCAGGCAGATGACTACCTTGCCCACCATAGCGCCAACCGAACGTGCCGATTCCCTCAGTGTGCAAAACCACCGTCGCTTGACCGGTGCGCATTTTCGAGGCCATGAACCTGCAAGCAAGGAATGTGCAAGACAGCTGTCGACTAGACTGGCCAAGGGACAAGTTTTTGATCGCCCTCCCACGCTTGCTAGAGCGGCTGGCGTACCTTGCATGACGCCTCCAAGTGGCGCATTTGAGTCAGCTCGACAGACCGGCCTCACACCGCACTGCAGATTGGACAAAAGGCAGCCAAATTCCGATGATTCCTCGGTGAAGTCGGGAGCCTTTGCTGCTCGCACCCTCGCTTCGGCCAGTCACCCATCCGAATCCTGCACCACCCTCAGCCTCAGAAATGGAAGATCGCCACGGTGCATGAACCGCTGCGAGATGGGCATGCAGCACACTCGTCTTTCGGCTATGAGGCCTCTGACCTCTCCAACCTTCCTGACTTCTCCGAGAAACCCCCCGAAACTTTGCGAAATACGAAGCAGCTCAAATGAGGCCCGTATTCAAGTGGAAATGTCGATAGTTTGTCCGAATAACCCTGGTTCCTTTCCAAGGTCCTGTCTTGACTTAAAAACAAGTCAGCTGGTTCACCGACTGTGTACACATTGCGTCATGACTTGGATTTGACAAGAGCGGACGAACATCTCCTAGAACCGTAGCCGCTGCCATCCCATGAGGCCTGAATCACGGCTCGAAAAATGAAGTCGGGCAGCGGGCCGTGATAAGAACGTGACTGGTTTGTGGGTCGTCGTGCTGGTATCAGCCCGCCGCGCAAAGGCGCTTACTGGGAGAGGCCGGCTGTTTGGGAAAGGCTGGATGGATCGTGTGACACCAGGCTGCCCTACTTATCCTAAGATGGTGAGTAATCGACCCGCAAGGCAGTGAAACTGGACTATTGTCTGCGCCAGCTTACCTTACCTAGCTGCTATTCCCACGTAAGAACGCCATCCAGAGTCTCGGGACGTTGAGATGGAGGGAGGGCTGGTCGCGCATCCAACGAAAATGCGGAGATAAGGCTTGGGGGTCGTGGGAGTGTGTGACAAATTTCGAGTTACCTCGCAAAAGACTGCTGACTGGGAAGATGGACGCTTCCGAGGCATTCCATCAGATACTGGCGCCATCAATTAGCGGTGAAGGCATCAGCAGGAATGCCAGGCCCCATTGTGAAATTTGACAGATGGGAAACCCGCCGTCTCAATTCGTCTTCTTGCCATGGTCCGTGGCGTGAGTCGACTACCGTATGCTTCGAGGCTGATCTAAGCAATAGGATCGTGGTGGTTGCGCCGATATCTGTAGGTTGGTTGGTTGGTCGGTAGATAGGCATGTAAGGTAAGGTAGGGACCGAAAATGGGCTGGCTGCTCAGCTTGGAATTCCAAAGAGGAAGATCCGGGGGAGGCGAAAATACATACCTTCTTACCTTGCCCAGCAGACCCCGGATCGCCAAAGAATGCAGGAGCTTGGGCCAGCCGCCGCGGCCGTTGCTTCCTTCCCCGCGAAGTTCCAGAATCAGCACGTGACCCACTTGCCAGCCGGGGGCCGGGGCGGGCAGGTGCTGGGGCGGCCGCAGGGCAGGAGATGGGGCAGGAGGATGCCTGCTCTTTCCATCCCAAGTAAAGCGAACTTCAGCTTTGTTCCAACGTCAAAGATCCAATTCATCCAACGACACCTCATCATCTCAGAGTATTGTCGAGTCAGGTAACGCTCGTCAAATTCCTTTCTATCCGACTTCTTGTTGCTCTTCGCGCCCATCACCTTCCCCTGGGCGTTCTGCCGTCAACCTCTAGTCTCCGCAGCTAAGGCGCACGGCCTTGGCCTACCGTCAAGCTCCCGCTGTCCAAGTTTGTTTGTACAACACATCTCAAGTTCTCTCACAGCTCGACTGGTCGTCTGTTGCGCAACTGATCATCTATTGCGCATTCATCATGCTCGTCAAACTTGAAAATACAAAGTCGGCAGCGGCCAGGTCTATGCTGCTCCGCCTAGTGAGCCAGAACGTCCGGTACGCAACGACGAAACCCACTCCCAATGAGAAACCGTGGAGCTTTCGGGGTCCGAAACTCTGCAATCAGTTGGACTTCCTTACGACTGGCCATGAGTCAGCATTCATCTGTCTGCAAGAAGTCCTCTACTCTCAACTCGAAGACATCCAGTCTTACCTCGGTCCTGCCTGGGGACATATAGGTCTCGGTCGTGATGACGGCAAGCGAGGTGGCGAATTCTCACCAGTATTCTACCAGGTTGGACGTTGGCAGTGCGAGCGGAATGAAACTTTTTGGTTGAGCAAGACACCAGAAAAGCCATCTAGAGGATGGGATGCCGTACTGAACCGTGTTGTCACCGTCGGGGAGTTTCTCGATAAACAGACAGACTCGCGTGTCGTTGTCATGAGTACGCACTTCGATCATATAGGGGTTGTCGCTCGAGAGCAGAGCGCCAAACTGCTTCTCAACGTTGCCCGAGAGTGGAGCAAAGGAGCAAACGGAAAACCTCCGACAACCGTCCTGCTTGCGGGTGACTTTAACAGTACCCCGGATGATAATGCCTACAAGACAATGGTGGCGCCGGGGTCAGGCATGGTCGATGTCTCAACTCAGGTTCCTAAAGCGAAGCGATACGGGAACGAAATCACGTACACGTCGTTTGACGAGCCGGACGAGGAACCGAAGAGAATAGACTTTTTGTTTGTGAAGGATCCGAGCCCGGCAACCATCAAGACATTTGGCGTGCTCTCGAACAAGTTCGATGACGGCGTTTATCTGTCTGACCATAGGCCGGTTGTCGCCGACGTTGAGATTCCTGTCTTACGAACGGCCAGCAATATCTTCTGAAACAATACACCACGTCAATCGTGGCTTGGATTCAAAATCATGGATCCCCGTGCAACGTCACGCAAATCGGCGGCGTAGAAGAGGCAGATCTGGACCTGCTCGAGTCTCCGAGACAAGCTCCCTGCATCTCCGGCATTCCAAGGTCTCAACGTCAAGTGAAATCGACTGGCGTGCAGGAGCTGGACAACCGCTCAGCATCGAGTGATAAGGTCTCGCAGCAACAGGCCATCGGGAAGTCGATGTACACGGCCAACGACGAGTGGCGTTGCGTCATTCTAAGCCTCCAAAGTCAGTCGATATGGCGTTCGCATACGGTACGATCACAACGGTATTACCATCCGGAAGCGCTGCGTATTATATCGTATACGTTTGTCCTATCTCTGCCACACGGCTTCAATGCGGCAGGCTATGCCACGTTCTACCTACCACTGTGGCGCGTTGGGATCGCTTTCAACGGTGGCGTTGAGGGATTATGCCTCAAGCGAAAAGGCGGTGTGGCTCTGAGATGGTGTCGAGTTCCTCGCTCCACAACCAACAACCGCCTATCGATCCGTCCGCCTCGGATATATCGACTTGTCAGTCCATCGCGTCTTTGCAGCAGCGTCCGCTCTCGGCTTCATGCATCTCGAGCGTGCAAGAGTGGCATATCGGACAAATGGCGGGCTCGCCATACTAGATAATTTGCAAAATTGCTAAACCAATGCAACCGTGGCGTGCATCAGATCTGAAGATTTGAATGGATACATACACTTGAAGACGTTCGTCATAACCGTTCCGCGGCCTCCGCATTTCTAATCACACAAACTATGCTTCTCTGCATACAATTCGTAATGACGATGTCTTTGACTGTGGTCGTTGACCGTACGGCAGCTCTGCACAAAACACAAAGAGACTCAAACGTTAATGGACGGAGAGACTAAAATGCGAACGAGCTCAATAGAGAGCTCATTCATTCTCCGCAAGATACCGAACCGAGGATCCTAGCGACCCGTTCATTACCTTGGATGCGACGATACTCCACTTCTCAACGAGGATGAAACCAACTTTGACTAGCTTCCTCGATAAGACGGAGCCCCGAGAGGCTCCGGGAGGGCCTCACTCGAACCCATTTCGGCATGTCCTCGCGCTAGACAGATTTTATGCACAGTGGGCGCTGGTATACGGTGATGATGCCTGTGGGATGGGTGCATGTCATGCAGCCGGAATACGCAGTTGCGTACAGCGTGTGGAGGACGGTCCAGGCGCCAACCAGGCAAATTATGAATCGCACATGTTTCTTCATGTCACCTTTCCTTTGGACGATTCAGACTTGGAGTACTGCGACGGTATCAGACCGCGGCAATCTACTTCTACGCGGAAGAATGGAGAGGGAGACATTTCAGTACAGTACAATTGGAGAATTTGAAGTACATCATCTGGCTGATGTGGACGGTCCTATCGGAGCTGATAGTGCGGTGTTCGAGACCACCTTCGAATTCGAGACACAAACCCAAGAGGCGAGAACAACGCTGTCATGGAGACACGTCGTTCAGAGTCACATTGAGAACAAACTTCGGTGACTTGACCACAACAACATGATGTCAATCTCGAGTCCGTGTACCGCGGTGACGCTATTACTGCAAACAGTGTCGTTCTTGCAGCGAGATCGGTACCCACTCAGGAGGGACCAGGGCATCTTACCCCAAGATATCCGTACGCAGCTCTATCAGACGCATGCCCTACAGAAAGAGCAAGACGCGGGGAGACAGATCTAGACGGGCAACACACAGCAGGAATTCAGCATCGTGATGCCATCTTCCATGGCTTCGTTCAACAAGTCCAAGGGACGAATTCGTGCTTGGACAAGTTGGCCACGGACAGCAGCCATTCAAGTCCGAGATGGAGCGATGACTCCCATTGCCGTCCCGGCCCCGCCCTATGAGAAAAGCGAGCGGGCCCGGACTGCATGAATCTGCATTCCTGACCGGGTGGGTCGGGCCCATGATTGGGCTTTCCGGCACAAGTGCGTTGGCGATGCGGTGCCGAAGGGCGATGGAGGTGGTTCTGCATTATGTGCAGACTTTGCTTCAAGCTTGTCAACCATTTGAAGGCGTCCGGTTGCCTACCTACGCTACCCAGGATGACAACGAAACTTTTGAAAGTACAGGAAACGTCTCCTGATGTTTGGTTCGCGCAAGCCCCGAGTCGTCAACCACCTCGACCACCTCATGGGGCGCGCACCAGAATAGGTACTGTCTCTCGGTCGATCACCTCACCCATCCTGAGAACCTTCCTTTTGTTTCTTTTTCCCGCCCACCCCCAAATATCTTAACCGAAGACGAAAACACGTTTTGGTCGAAAGAAGAGAGAAAAAAGGTCTGGCAGGCCGCAGAGCGCGGCAAACGATTGGATGCTCGTGGTGTCGTTCGTCAGCCCGCTTCGCTGTTGATACCCAAAGGCCAAACCCAGCCACAAGGTCGGGCAGTAAATCCAGCCATTTGATGGAGAAGTCGAAAAATCTCCCAGCCGAAAAGGGCACAACGCACCAGACAGCAACGCTCCGTCATCTTTGAGTGACACCCCCGCCTGGTTCGGCCCTGGAGGTGGATCTCCCGCGCACACGGAGACTCCCTCCACCAGCCAGATTTCAGCAGCGCAGCGCAGCCCAAGGGAGCCGGCCCATCCTGTCTCATCCAGACAACTGGCAGAAGACTCAGAAAGCGTTGTGTCCCTCTGTTCTGTGGCCACACCCCCGTCGAGTACCTAGGTGTTCTAGGGCCTTCGTAGGTAATTAGTACCTAGGCCAGCGTAAGGGAAGGGGTGGCTGTCGCATTCGAGAGTTCAATGGCGGCACGAAGAAGAAAACACTGCCATCGGGGCACAACGCAGAAAACGCCCTCGCACAAGCAAAGCAGCTCTGCTGTCCGGCATCGCAACACATGGGTGTACATGAACGTCAGCGCTACGACGGTAACGGAACATCGATCTAAATGGAAGTTCAAGGTCGGGCACTTTATGCTGTGAAGAGCTTCCTTGTTGGCGCGCCGTTCACAGATTCGCAACACCCCAGAAAGCCTTGCCAGGCTCTTGACCCCCGTTCGAGGGAAAATCCATTGCAACGGTCGCGGACGGGAAGAAACGAAAGACAAGGGCTTCTCCACAGTTGGGCCTGAGTGCTTCTGGCGCTCTGACTCGAAGCGGCGACGATTGGCACCGGCGCCAACGAAAAGCACCAACACCAGAGCCCCAGGGGACCGCCCAGTTCCCAACTTTGCGGTCAAATGCTGTGTTGAAGGGGTTTCCCTGGTTTGACGCCGGTGCTGCGGATGAACCACAGCCAACAGAAGCTTCCTGGAACGAGACGAACTGGCTCGACGTCGGTCCAGCAGACTCTAGCTGAGTCCTTTCGACGGTCCTTGCTGCCACGCGGTGGAGCTTGAGGCTATTCTGTTAGCTCTAGCTTGTTTCTGATGTGGGTTGTCGCAGTTTTCCCACCCAGGAATCCCGACTCCCAGGACCCAACGAGGGCCAGAAGAAAAAAAGAAGAGTTCCCACAAGCCGGCAATCTCTGTCCTCCACCCAATTTTAGGCGATTTCGATACAGTTTGACAGGGAGAAGTGACGACAGCAAAGAAATTCCCTGTCCTCCTTGGGTCCCATGCTTCTCCAGACTCGCACACGTTCTTGACAATCACAGACCCTGGCATTTCGACTGTGCAACTTGGGAGAGACGTTGCAAAGCTGGGCAGCACCAGCAGCCCATCTTCTCGCACACCCTCTCTGTCTGCCTCTCCGTCTCTCTCTAACGTTACAGGCCTGTCCTCCGTCTCCCGCAAACCATAGTCCGTTCCAGCGCTCCCGTCCGCCTCGGATAGTCGAGAATCAAAGCCGGAGCCAAGTCTCTAGATCCATCAGAGCTCTCACAGCCATTTGCGGGCTCAGGCACACGCCCCTCCTCCTTCACTCGAGGCACTTGTAGTGCTTGCTATCATCGAGCGCTGGCCGGTCATTGGAGTGACACTGGACGAGCGGCAGAGCACCCCGGGCAACGAGAAGACCTCATCCGCTGTCAGGTCCTTTTTTTGCTGTGACCACACCCCTCCATCGGGTCGTCAAGTCCAGGGCCGCCCCCGCGATTGGCCTTTCCGTAGGCTATTTTTTCACTTGTGGTGCTGCGAATGAGTTGCTGGGCTGCGCACACACCTCGCTCGCCCTCCCCTCCCTTGGCTCCGGACTCTTCCTCTCACGGCGCAACAGTCATTACACTACAATCGCAACTGCACACACTCACGCTACCTGTCCTATCCGTACGAACGAAGTACCTTACCTGCAATGCAAAGCATAGGTCGGGTGAGGTAGGTAGGCAGGGCAGGATTAATAAGACAGCACGTTCGTCCACAGCCCGCCCACGGCCACGGTCATCCGTCGTTTTCTTGGATTATTATCGATCCCACGTTGTATACAACGAAACACAACAACAGATTCGACAAATATCATCTCTCTCTCTCCCTCGTCCGCGCTCTCCTGACGATCCATAATACCTCAACGACCCTTCCTCTCCTGACAACCCAGCCAACAACGAACAACGAACAGCGAGTAACCTGGCCTGGCCGGCCTCACACACCTAGCCAGCATCAGCACCAGCATCCGCAGCGTCTCATTTTCTCCCACACCCAATTTCACGCCCCCCTCATCCTGGTCGGATTTTCATCCCCACAAATACGGGCCCTCCCTCCATCAGATAGTGGTCGCATCCCCTTCCGCATCTCCACTGCCTTTCTCGTCCGCCCTTTATACAAAAAAGTTCCCGATTCCCACCGCAGCCAAGTTCTTCCCCCCCAGTTCACCACACCTTCGATCACTTGCTACGAACCTACGATTGCTCGCCTCTGTCGAGGCACCTTTGCCTCCTATCACCAGTCGCTCGACTACCGAGCCAACACAAACACACCATAGCCCATTACGACGATCGACACCGCTTCATCATGGCCTCCAGAAAGATTGTTGCCCACTGCGAAGACGTCGACGAGGAGACTGGCTCCATCATTCAGGGCTCCGACAAGTACGCCCGATCACACGCACCAGGAAGCCCATCAAGAGAGAAGGCAAACAGCGGCAAATCTCGCAATAAGGACAGGATGACGAGACCAATCTCCGCCTCCCCGCAATACGGCCATACCGACTCGGACGATACCGTTCACCCCGCTATCCCGGACAAGAAAGCGAGGGATAAGGCGAGACGATCTGAACAAAAAGCCGCTGATCGAGCCGCGGAGAAACTCGCCGAGAGGAACGCAAGGGACGAGGCGGCCAGAGAGCAAGGTCGTCGAGAGGAAAGACATCGTCTCAAGAAGGAGCAGGAAAAGACTGCACGCCGCGAACAAGAACGCCTCGAGAAGGAGCAGCGCGAACGAGAGGAGCGTCATGAGAAGCGCGAGCGATCCGCCGCCAAGAAGACCGCAACCCGTCCCTCCACAAAGCACGTCAACACGTCCCCCGTCGTCCATACCCAGAAGACCGCCCAAAAGCCAGATGAATACAGAAGACCACGTTTTACGGAAGAAGAATCCTCGCAGTACGGTGTACAGCAGCCGGCACAGGCACAGGGTGCGCGTCCTCGAGCTTCAAGTCGCCCTGCCAGCTACTACGGCCAAGGCTCCCGACCACCTACCTCCAATAAGCAATGGCATGCTGCGAACAACGCTTCGCCCTTCACTCCGGCCCCGAACCCCTCGCCATTTGCACCATCGATCCACGCACCGCCTTCCTCTCATGCCTCGTCGCCCTTTACTCCCGCTCCTATCCAAATTCCCATGCACCCATCACCGCATGTGCAGTCGCCGTTCGCACCCGCACCTGGCGCTTCGTACACCCAATCGCCAGGCCCCTGGGGCCCCGGAAGTGTTCCTTACCCTATGCAGGCGCCGCACCATCCGCCTCCGCCGCCGTCGAATGATTACTTCCCGCCTACCCCTGTGGCGAGCAGCCCCCGACACTCAAACCTGGCCCAACGCTTCCAACAGCGGCCTTCTTCGGCCATGGGACACCGGTCCATGTCAGCGTCTACCTTCGAGTACGACAACTACGGATACCATCCTAGCCCTGTCCAGGCCCACGCCCACCCACATGGACCCGGCCCTACCTATGAGCAAGAGAATATCCCCATTGGCAGACGGCCATCTCTCAAGGTTCGGGACAGAGACAGAGACAGCGAGATGATGCCGCCGCCGCCGTTCCCCCGCTCACGAACGACTGCCCCTCAACAGGCTTTCCGTCCACCGCCTCAGCCTCATCCCCAGCAGCGACAGATCATGTCTCAGGGCTATGACTCTGATGATTTTGATGGCGAGGAATCCATGTACCAGGAAATCGTTCCCCATGGTTACCAATATGACGACGGCGTTGTTGCCAGGCCCCGTGGTCACCGAAGGGGCTCCAGCACGTACAGCCATCGCGCATACCAGATCGAACCTGCTCCTGCTCCCGCGCCCGCCCGCAGTAGCCGCCGCCATTCATACATGGCTGGCGGCGAAAGCGGTAGCTACTCGCAGTCCAAATATGCCTCCGCCGAGGCTGCTGCTATGGCTTACCAGAACGGCGTAAGCGGCGGCGGCGGTGTGCCTTTGACTGCTGCGGCCCTCTCAAAGGCTGGGAAGAAGAGCAAGAGCAGCAGGTCCAGTGGAAGTAGCGACAGCCTCGACGAAAGCGACTTTCTACGAAGCGCCACCACGCGGACCACCCGGTCTTCTGCCATTGACGGCGACGACATCACCATCAAGGTTACGGGCCACGCCGTCCTGCGGGTTGGCAACGCCGAGATTCAGTGCCAGGATGGCGGCGAAATCAACATCAGCCAGGCAGCACGCATTGCTGGTGGTAGCGATAGGGATACCGTCTACTCCGATGAACGCCGCAGCCGCATGGACCGACCAGCTATCCGTGATCGTTCCGAAAGCCGGACCGACTCCTATGCTCGTAGCCAGGCGGACGAGTTCGAGCAGTTCCGCATTCCGTTTACCTAAATCGAATTGCAACGACAATGACGAGTTGATGAAGCGACGCACATTTGTTTTTCACTTTTTGCACGATTTCATTAGAGCGAGCGTTGTTTCTGCACCTGGAACTCAGATTGAAAGCTGTATCGATATGATTGGCTTCTTATTTTTCCATTTCTCTTTCTTCTTTGCTTCTGCAACTGCTTAGGTCGACTTTCTGGCAGCGGAAAAGTTTATACCCAAAGCAGAGGCTGTCGCGAGCTCTGCTCCTTTATCTTTCTATTTTCAAGCATCTTTATACCATCTACAGGACGAATCATGTATGTGCCGACTATGGCTGTGCGGCCCGGGTGAGACCCGCGGGCGTTTTGGATTTTGTAGGGTCGGGACACGATAATGAGTTGTGTTTTCTGGACATATGCGGAGACTTTTCCAGTCTCCTACCCCGGAAGGAGTCATGGGTGTCGTGTTTTCTTTAGCGCACGACATCCGGGCTGGACGATTTTGATAGACAACCTGTATCGGCAATCCGGGAAGTTCGCACTTCTTGTGCTTTTAGGGAGAAGGGCATTCAGCAAATTGTTACGCTTAGTTAGCTACCTTGCGCGGTTCTGTTTTCTTCTTCTCCATTTCTACTTAGAGGACATTGTTAGCAGGATACCATTGGGATGGGCTCGGCTATCCCGTCCAGAGCCACGGGCATAGGGTGCTTGTTGGGGACTACAAAAGGACGTAGTCCAGTCAAGCCCCCAGCCTTTTGGGATGGGCAGGTAAAAGGGGGGATTTTGGAACGTCAATGGGGGTTATTATGGTGTATGGTATTTGGTAGCGGATGAACTGCCCATCTCATTTCCCTATTCTAGCGGCAAGGATAAGATACCCCTAACATGGCTGAGCCGTGTAGGCCGCATATGAAATAAATATGTCGTTGGAACAACAACTCTATGGTTTGCAATGTGCTTAATTGTCTCGCGATTGTGGTGCCAGTGGACGTTGGATGATGATCTCTTGTACGTTCACGCCCCTCTTTCCATTTTAACACGGAGGACCGCCGGGGTCAATCACTTGCCCGTTCCGGGCATCCCGATGAATCGGGAGACTACACTCCAGACTGCTTCTGGAACTCTACGGACTTAGTGAATGTATTTATTTCTGCTCTCCTGAGCTCGTGCAAGACCAATAACGTCAAGGTTCGGACATTTAATTGGTGAATATGATCCCGCCCACCCCTGGGTATAAGAACGATGCTCCCGGGCTATGTTCAGCGTCTAGCTGTTGGCGCCGGGCGTTGTGATACAGATTTGAAACGGGGTGGTTTAGTCCACCTGTTGGGGAGGCCTTGGAGAGTGGTCGCTTGGAAGGCCCTGGAGGATTGGTCTGAGAAGACGGGCCATCCTCTCTTCCTTTCTTTTATGCAATGGTGATTTCTTTCAAGTTGTGGTTGGAACGGATTTTCGGAAAGTACTTTACTTCTGGATGGCCGGATATGGGATGGAGGGGGCGTAAGGGAACATGTCACTCGGCGCGTGTTGGAAATGGAAAGCGTTCGAACGGGTGTGGATACCGCGTGCGCTTCCCGCGCGGCGGGTACGGGAGAACCCAACGGTTCGAATGAAATGGCGCCCCATTGTCCGGTGTCCGTTGGTGTTCCCGTTTTTTGTGACATTTGCGGCTTTGGCTCTGGGATGGTGCCTGACGATTCACGAAAGGGGATAAGGGGGGTACATCGTTTGGCGTGATTGGGTAAGGTGAGTGAGGTGTGAGTGAGGTGAGCAAGGTGAGCAGGGTGGTTGCGGTTGCTGGGCTGCAGGTGGGTCTGTTTACTTTCGACGTCATTGGGAGGCTGGGAGAGAGCAGGCGCGACGGGGTGCTCGACATGATTTCGCCAACACAGAATACGGCCTTCGAAGGTCACATTGACTTGAACACGAAGAAGGCCAAGCTATTCGTCCGCAGTCAGTGTGTTTTCTCCATTTAACAAGGCCATTACACCTTGGAGCACTGGGCAGGCGCAGAGAAAAGTCCCGAGAGAGAGCAGGGAAGCGACCCCCAGGCAGATTCCCCCACCAACCACCTCACTTGTTCGCGCAAATCCCCCAGCCACGGCAATTTCTGGTTTCTATAGGAACAAGCCTTCCGCCACCACGCAGCTGGCCAGGCAACTTTCACCTCTTACCTTATCCGTATTCTTCACCTTTTCGACATTCCACCGGGAGAATAGAGTGTGTATCGCCCATTCTCTGACTAGAGTGGACTGCGGAAGAAGCATTCCATCTACAGCATCCACAACCACACATTCCAGTCTCAACTCCATCATCGCTGGTTCTGCCAGTAATCGTTAATCACTACCCGGATATCATACCGAAAAAGCTTTTTACCACGTACCTCGACTTCAACTGAAGTCCACCTTGCCAATCATGGCTCCGGCCGTCGTCAACGGCCTGGCGCACCAAGCCCGCTCCTTCATCGCGGGCAAACGACTCTCGAGCCTCCCCGACACAGCAGACATCACAGCCCGATCAATCGACGCGGGCTCCGTCGGGCCCCTCGCCGCTCGCTCCCTCCTCCTCGCCCGCGATAGCACGGGATACAAGGAGGACCCTCACGTCGGCGTCACCGACCCGGCCAACATCAACAATACGGCCATCTTTGTGCTGTTCGGCCTCATCGGCGCCGCCTTTGTCATCACCGGCATCTGGTTCTTCTTCTGGGCCCGCAACGGAGGCTTCTACTTCAAGGAAAACGACTGGGATGACTACAAGACCACGGTGCTCCGCCGCAGGGGTCCCAACGGCACACTCCTGTCCGGCGCCACCAAGTCGACCAAGCTCGGGGGCGGTAGCGTCTACAAGGACTACGACGACAACCAGACGAGCATCTCGGGAACTACCCTCTCCGGCATTACGGCGGGACCCAGCGACATTGGCGCCCGCGAGAAGCGCGAACGCAAGAAGGAGAAGAGACGCAGAGAAAAGGAGGCCGCGCGCCACAAGGAGAAGCCTTCGTCCCAGAATTACGACGAGGCCGGCGTGCTCATTGACGAGGAGGCCGAACGCGAGGCCAAGAAGCACCTCCGCTCCTACCGCCACGAGAAGCCCGCCCGCGTCGGCGGCCTGAACAAGGAATCTGAAGCATCCGAGTGGGACGGCTCGACGAACCCTACCGAATCCAACGTCTCGACCAGCTTGCTGTCAGGCCAGCAGACCACGCCGACGTCGACGCCCCACAAGAAGAGCGGTCACGGTGGTATCCGCAAGGTGTACAGCACGGCGGACCGCAACGAGGAGCGCGAGCGCCAGCGCATCCGTGCCGAGGCCAAGAAGCTGCAGGAGCGGGGCCGGGCTGCGGGTAGCTCGAGGCGCGACTTCAGCTTCCAGCGGGCGACCACGGTCGCCGAGGACCAGAACACGCGCGGCTACGCGCTCCCGCCGCCGAGGGAGGAGCCCGAGCCGAGTATGCCTGGCAGCTGGGCCGAGAGCGACATCACGAGCGCGCTGGAGAGCGATGTGGGGAACAAGTCGTATCACCATGTCATTCCTGGTTTGAGCAGCCAGAGCGCCGTGAGCAGCGATTATGCGGATGAGAGGCGCAAGAGGAGAAAGGAGCGTCGTCACCGCGATCACTGAGTAATGAAGGTCATGCCACGGTCATATTCATGGTCACGGTTGATGGGATATGGAAGATACGGAGCAAGTTTCGCGGAATGAGGCATGATGAGTGTTGAATTCTCATCTGAACCTCCATGGACGATGAGAGATGGATCATGGAGAAAAACAAACAAAGACACGAAATGAGATTGAGTTGCGATTGGCGAGCATATCTTGAGAAATGCGGGCGTTTTGGGATTGCTTTGTGGTAATTTCTGGTATCGGGGACTTTTGTGACCTGCGGGATGGAATGTGTTAGAGTAGCAACGCGAGCAACGCGATCATGTAGATTGATGATTAGCTGAAGGAATGAAATGAGGATTCATCAATGTTTCTTTGGTACACGATGGGGAGTTTGTGATTGTTGAAGTGTGATGTGAAGGCGTTATGCGATATGATACTGAAATGAATTAAATAGATTTTTTGATGTGAGTAATGCGATTCGCAGTTGATATCACTGTAAGTCATCGTGGTCAACTCAGAGTCTGGTTATGGATGGTTATAAATATCTAGAGTATACTGATGCTATCTTAAAATACCGGTTGCGCCAAGAAGCTCTGTATTCTAATAAGCTCGTCTTCTCTTCCATAGAAGTGACAGATGTTGAGAGTTTCTAAGCTTTGATGTCTTCTGAGTCAACATGTGGTCTTGGGTTGCCATTAAATCATGCTCTTATCTGGTTATGCATCTATAATCAGCTCCCAATTAATATAGGGGACCCTTTTCAAGCCCACGGGTTTGCGATGCTCGACCGCGTTCGTTACTAATTGGTATGCCGGATCTTCAGCGATTAAGTTTCTAGCCCCACGGTGTTCTAGGCGGGGGATTGCTGCACAACCTGAACGATGAGTTGGTGCCGGTAACTCATTGGATCCTTGCAGGCCGGAGCGATCGCGGCAGCCGCCGGCCGCTGTCGGGGCGTGGAGGGGGAGGGGCGGGGACCCTTTTTTTCGGCGGGGTGGTTGGGAGGAACGACGCCGCGGGGTATCGACGGGATGCTTTTTTTTCTTCAACCTCCTTTCTTGCTCGCGCTCCCGTTTTTCCTCTCTCCGGGGTGGACCAATTGCTTCACTTGTACCAACGCGGAAAGCACACCATTCGTCCTCGATCACTCTACAAGTTTGTTGAGAGTGTTCTGGCGATTTTGAGCAGGGGTGATTCGGAATCGGTGCCCCTCATCAGAGGCACTTTGCGCAACTCACCATCATCACCACCGAGCATACCAAACGCCGGAAAACTCAGAAACCTCACCGGCGTTCGAATCTTGGTGTGCTAGAATTGGAGAGTTCTCACGCCGTTTCTTCCGGCGCAAGGATTACGCGCAGAGGTCTGACAGGGAAGGAAATAGGGGGAAGGAAAGACAAACTAGCCAGCCATGGCGGACGACGAGCAATGGAGCGGCATGGAGAACACGGTCGACGACCCGGAGGAGACGAGGGTCATTTTCTGTGCCCTTGACTCGTTTCTGTGAGTGGTTTATGCTCTGTTTTCTCTTCCTGTTCTGCAATTGGATGAGGGGACCACTGCTATATCACGGGTGAGTTCCGCAAGGCGTTTGGGATTCTTCATCCTGACGTACCAAACGAACGGGACTCACCCTCACCCTTACTCAATTCCCATCTTCCTCACCACAACCATGATCTCGTTCCTTTCAACTCACTAACCATCCTACAGCCAATACGCAAAAGTGGCACACTTCAACGTAACCCACCTCCGCCGCCAATCCTTCTACGCCCTGCCCCAGGCGCACTGGCAGATGCTCGCCGCCCCGCCCTTCAACTTCCTCGACACCCTCGAGCGCACCGACGACGCCATCGAGTCCAACGCCGAGCTCGCCCGCGCCATCGCCCACAACGGCCTGCGCTCCTTCCACCTCGTAGACGAGAACTCGACAGAGGAGCCCAAACTTCCGGACAACTGGGTCGGCGTCGCAAAGCACGGCGACACCGACAAGGCACGCAGCACCCTCCGCCAGTTCTACCGCGACTGGTCTGCTGAAGGGGCCGAGGAGCGCAGCATATGCTACGGTCCCGTTCTTGAAGCCCTCGATCGCGAGCGCAAGGCCCGACAGTTGTCTTCTGGTACGACAACAGGCGCCAGCGCCGCTGCTACTTCCGTGGAACCCCTAAAAGTCCTCGTTCCTGGCGCGGGACTAGGCCGCCTCGTCTTCGACCTCTGCCTCAACGGCCACGACGCAGAGGGCAACGAAATCTCCTACCACCAGCTCCTCGCCTCCTCCTACATCCTAAATTGCACGAAAACCGCAGGCCAGCACAAAATCTACCCCTGGGTCCACTCCTTCTCCAACCACCGCACGCGCGAGAACCACCTCCGGAGCTGCGCCGTGCCCGACATCCACCCGGCGACGGAACTCGCGCGGGCTCAGCAGCGGTCTTCCGAAACAGGCGCGGGAATAGGCAGCATGTCAATGTGCGCCGCAGACTTCCTCTGCCTCTACTCCGACGCCGAGCACGCCTCAGCCTACGACGCCGTAGCGACCGTCTTCTTCCTCGACACGGCGCCCAACCTCATCCGCTACCTTGAGACGATCCACCACGCCCTCCGCCCCGGCGGTCTCCTCATCAATTTCGGGCCCCTGTTGTGGCATTTTGAGAATAATGCCCCCGGAAACCACGGGCGGGATACCGACGGTGACGGCGACCATGACGCGAGTAATTCGTCGGGTATCGCGGATCCGGGTAGCTTCGAGTTGAGCGATGACGAGGTCATGGCGCTTGTGGAAAAGGTGGGATTCGTGGTGGAGAGGAGGGAGACGGGGATTGCGGCGCCGTATATCCATGATGGGGAGAGTATGTTGCATACCACGTACCGCGCGAGTTTCTGGGTGGCGCGGAAGCCGTTGTAGAATCCTTTTGCTGTCTTGAACTCTCTCGATCTTTTCATTTATTGGCTCTGTTACCAATCTGTACATATTGACGGGAGGCAAGGGGTTAGCAGTGCAAGTTAACGGCATTACGGTAGCATGATAGACTCGAGGCACAGGCAAAGTGAACCCTGATGGGAGACAATTACATATTTTTGTTGAAAAAAAAAAGCAACACACCATCTACACAACCTACTGAGAAGCTTCCTTACAACTTACTAGGAGGAACATTCAACTCGCCCCTCTGCCACAACGACCCGCCATCAATAGCAATGACCTCCCCGTTAACATGCGAACCCGCCCGACTAGCAAGGTACACCACCGCGCCCGCGATATCCTCCGGCCGCCCCAACCGACCCATCGGGTTCCCCTTGCCAATCTTATCCGCGCCGCCGCCAATCTCCAACAACCCGTTGGACATCTTACTCGGGAAGAAACCAGGGGCAATGGAGTTCACCGTAATCCCTCTGGGGGCAAGCTCCAGCGCCAAATTACGACCGAGGTGCAACACAGCCGCCTTGCTGGCACTGTACCCGTACGTGCCCTGCTTGCCCAGCGTACCGACCCCCAAGCCCGCAACAGACGCCGTGATGATGACCTTTGCCGGCTCGCCGCCAGCGCTCTTATTCGCAGCCACGCTCTTCTCGAGCAGCGGGGTAAACAGCCGAATGGTGTTAAACACGCCCTTGACGTTCAAGTCCATCACCTTCGCAAACGCCTCGTCCGGGTGGGTATCAAACGCCTCGCCCCAGGTGGCGCCCGCGTTGGCGAACAGGATATCGACGCGGTCGGCGTGCTTCTTGACCTCGGCGACGAGGTGCTCCACGCCCTTGATGGACGCCGCGTCCGCGGGGATCGGGATCGCGACGGCGCCGGGCTGGAGGTTGGGCAGGGCGTTGAGGGCCTTGCATGCCTCTTCGCAGGCTTTGCCCTTGCGGGAGGAGATGAAGACTTTGGAAGCGCCGGCTTGGAGGAAGCTGTTGTTTTTTTTTCCATCGTCAGTCAAAGGTTTTCTTTTCACCAGGATTTTGTACGGATCGAAGAGGACACGCAAGAAAAGAGAAGGAAAGATCGAACGTACGCTGACGCGGCGTGCAGACCAAGACCGCGAGAGCCGCCGGTGACGACGGCGACCTTGCCCTTGAGGGAGAAGAGGGAGGGAAAGTCGTTGAGCTGTGCTTCGGCCATTGTTGATGATTTCTTCTAGGTTTCTGTGATTCAATTGATTGATTCAAAGGTTTCTAAAGGAGAAAAACAAGTTAAGAAGGCTAGAAGGTCGGAATAGAATGAAAAGTATGGGGGATGAAGAAGGTGAAAAAGGGGGCCCGGGATTGGAAATCCGTACAGCTAATCAATCGATTCCTCTCTCCCCCCAGAGTTTAGAACCGACCTTACCCCGGGCGGTGACGTTTGCGGGGGAGAAGATACCGAGCCTCGGCTGTCCCGCTAGCTCCAGTTTCCCAGACACCGGGCCCACACCGGGGAAAAGCGTGGGGTCGGGGCCGATTACTGATGCACAGCATTTTACATTTTCGCTGCCTTGGGGTCCTTCCGGTTCTCGGAATCCTAGGGGCAAAAGTGCAAAAACACCAGACAGGAATTGTAAATTCCATGTAAGGTACGGCTGCCTTGTTCCAGGACCCAGCGTCCTGGGTGTGCGGCGCAGCCCCATCGCAATTCATATGCAGGGTACTTCACAAGCATAGGTAGGCTGAGCAAGTTAGGTTGGTAATTCGATATTGAGAAATAAATAGCACATATATGAAAGTCGTGATCGTGTTGACGAGATATCCACGCGAGATGAGAGAAGAATAGACTCTAGTAATGCAATCTGACCATGGCCTGTTCCCATGCTCTCCACTGTTGTTTGAGCTTGCATCAATGCTGCTAATGCTGCCAACTCCCTGTGAATATCAATCTCATGCCAGATAAATCCAAGTAAATGTTTGATAACATGTGAATCATCATATCATAGCTTCCGCAATAATAGCGTAGTAAATGAGCCGGGTTTTCGGCAAAATAGACTGTCGTCTCATCGTGATAGAGGAGCATAGGTAGGCCTAGCTCCTCCCAAAACGTATAATTGTTAAAATGTGCTGCCATCACAAGTTGTGACAGAGACGCAAACATGTTTGCAGACAAAGCCGTCTGCTTATTTTCTTGACTTCTTCTTCGCTCGGGTCTTCTTCTCCCAGCAGTCATCGACGGCATACTCAACGTCTTCAAAGTCGTCCGGGCTGATGTAGCCGATGAAGAAGACCTTGACGTTGTGCTCGACCGTGACAAGCTTGGAGTAGTTCACGCGCGATTCTTTGGCGAGCTTTTCTCCCTCAATCGTGATCTTGGCCCGGACTGGTGGGAATCCAAGCTTTGGCTCATCGCGAAGCGGTCGATGAGGCTTGTGGCTGTAAATCATGCCGTGCTTGTGGGCTTTTACGCCCCTCTTGTTGCAAGCTTTGCCTTGGTACGTGAGGATTGGCCTGATCTGTTAGTGGAAACTTCCAGATGACAACTGAGACCGACTTACACGCAGGTGCAGTGCCCTTCATCATTTGCAATGACAATGAAGCGCCTGAAACCGATGAATACAGACCCTCCGAATTGGTCTTGAATCTGCTGTTTTTCGGATATCGTCGAGTTCCCTGCGGCGTGAGAGCCGGATGGTTCCGACCATAGAACCTTGAAGACCTATCATACTTAGTCAAGTGAAATCATAACCACGTAAAGCAACCTACCGATCCGGGCCGGAACTTGTGTGACGGTTCAACGACGTAACCTGCAAATTGTCAGAGTCGATTAATCAAGCTAGAAATGCATGATTCAACTCACGAGGGTCAAGATCTTCAGCAGATCCATGAGTGCCGCTTATGTCGAAGGATGGTGTAGGGCTTTGGCGGCCCTTTGGTGTTGCCGCACCGTCGTCCTCCTCGTACGCTGGATAAGCTGTCTGGGTAATCAGCCATGGGGATGGCATTGAGGACTATCGCCTGTTCCTTACCTGTACCATATGCGGGATCCGTCGATGACCCACCGTGACCGGAAGTCCCATACATCTCGTTGCGGTTCGACATAGCCTCTTGCACAATCGGATCATCATAGTCATCTAGATCGGCCGTTGCGTATCCAGAGTCTACCGACGTCAGCATGGTTCAGATCCCTAAGCCGAGTGCCTCACCTTGACTGTATGTAGCCGTAATTGGATCATGAGCTGTTCCATATCCCTCAGACTCGTGATATAGGCTTTCTGCCCCAGCTTGCGGAGGAGCTACTTTGAATTTGTTAGCTGCACAATTTTTCACAAGGTCAACCTCACTTACATTCTTCATCCTGTAGCCCAGTGGTGCCACCCTTCGCGCCCCAGAAAGGATCTAATGGTGGCGGGGGAGGGTCTTCAGGGGAAGGACTTCGTTCAGCGGGTGGATCTGGGGCGTAGGCTGTCTCTTTTCCCTTCCTAGATCTACCTGAGCTGCCTTGGGATGTCGCCGAAGGTTCATACATGTAGGATGGGTCTGTAGCAGGGTTAGTCCCAACTATGCGACGCTGTCACCCAACTTACCATTATGCTCGGTATCCTGTCCCTCATAACCATAACTGTGTTCGGTGGTGGGCGGCAGATCGAGGTTGTCCATGGTTTCCGTGAGTTCGTCTACTGCTCGGGGAGTGAAATCATCTTGCGGCGCCGGCGCCGGCATCGCAATATCCTGCCACTCATAGTCGTATTCGCCTTTAAACGTCAGTTGTATTCGCAATAACACGTTGATTCATGACTCACCATTGCTGTTCATGCGGTATCTGTAGTTCTTCTGGTAATCGGGATTCCACTGCCAATCACTCCACGCACTCCACGTGCTCCCACCTCTGCCACCTCCGCTCTTCGACTTGTGTTTGCTTGACCTGCTCGACTTGTGCATGATGGCATCTTGTGTCGACACTTGGAGAGGTTCGAACTTCGGCGCCGATCATGGGTGGGCCTCCGCGCAAGACCGGGTTCGGGGACGGAGACCGAGTCTTGGTGATAGTGTAAGCTTGAGGCTCAAGAAGAAAGAGACAACAGACAAGCGGACCTCGACAGGCAAGCCGGGCCTCGAGGCCTCGGGGCCACGACAGGATAAAAGAAGTGCCCGCTTAATTGGTTGAAGTAGCTGCGCGGCAACGCGTGACGTATCTTGCGAGATATGACTGGCGCAAAAGCGACAGTACTCTTGCAGGAAGGGGGGTATGAGCCTTCACAGAGCCTGCATCGTCTTGCAGGAGACTTCGAATCCTGAAGGGAAGTACTGAGGTGGAAGGTCGGTGCCAGGCTGAGAGAAAGAGTGTGAGGAAGAAGATCGGTCAACGGGAGAGCGTGAGACAGGAAACGGAAGACGGAGAACGACGAGAAGAGGGTGTGACACGGCACGGTTGCCTTTTCTTCCCGAGTTTACCCTCCCAAATGACTGCCACAGTATGGTCTATGGACCCGGGGTCGATAAGCCGAATGAATGCACTTCATTATCCATCGAGTATTTCCCACCGTAGGTACGTGGAGCAAAGTGGACAAGAAACAACAGCGGCCCCAAAGGCTCGCCTTCTCCTCTTCCAGTCCCGCGAGGTGGTCTCACAGATGGCACCCGCTTGCACACCCTGGTCTCCATTCTGTTCGTTGTATGGTGTGCAACCCAAGAGACGCCACCCCTGGCTGTATGAAGGCCCGAAGAGGTTGCTGGCCGGCGGCGGTTGGCTCGCGTGTTGATTGAAATTCTGTACCGGTACGAAGTGATTGGAAAAGAGACAAATGGAACCAGGCTGCACTTCTTCGTCCCGTTATGTTTTGGTGTGGGATGACTTCCCACCAGTAGCGACGACTGCTCGACTTGACCCCGCGCTGCCCGTGTCCACCTGCCAGTGGTGCCAGTGGTGCGCGGTGGTCCTTGTCACTGCCTGGGTGGACCGCCGAGAAGGGCCCCCCCACGGAAGCTCGGGCTCATTAGCTGTGGTGCTGACACATATCGGGACTAGCGTCGGGACGGCAGCAGCTAGCTCCGCAGTACGTACTCTCGTACCCTCCTGAAGCACGGATAGGTACCTGGTTGGTCTCCGCTGAACGGCTGGGAAGGCACGAAGGGCATAGAAGGCAGGTGCAAAAGGGGGCTAGCACACGGGAGGCAAGTGGATCCGCTTACCGAGAAAGGCTCAAGGTGGCTCCGCCAACGGTGTTGCTCGTCTCGGTCAGCACCCATCCTTTTGTTCCCACGTTTGTTGCATTACTGCTGCTGTTCAGGTTGCTGGCCTGCTTCTGCTGGCATGCATCCGTAATTAGCACTACCTTGTCTGAAGAAGGTGGTGACTGGAACGAGCCGCGTCGACTACGCCCACAACATTCTCAAGTCGAGCCGTCACATCTTTCTTTCGAAATTCATTCCAGCGACCATCGACGACAAGCTCTCCCTTTGTCGCATAATCAAACCCTACCGAGCGATGGAACTATTCCACGACCAGTACGCACCATAGCCTCTCTTCATGGCTACGACCGAAAGCCCCAGACGACGGACCTCCGCCTCGAGTTTGTCAGGGGATGCCGAATTCCACGAGCATGCCATTTCATCCGAAGCAACGACTATTGATACTAGCTATCTCGAAAGCGTTCAGCTCATGCCATCACCACTCTCACGATCACATCCATCACCACCGCCACCACCTCCTCCTCCTCTCCCGACGTTGACACGACCAAACTCTCTTGGCCCCTTGATGGTAGCCCCATCTACATGGCAAAAGTCCGATGCGTCACAACACCATGGTTCTCAATCCTCAGGCCCGAATACACCGCGTCCTCTATCCCATCGGGCCAGTTACGGACACGAACGACCTCACCCTCCGCCTCCGCCTCCGCCGTCCCGAGGACCGCGGCCACCCGTTCCCACCATGCTCCTTCACCCACCACCACCTCCGCCGCCGCCGCCGCCGTCAAACCTCGATGCTGCCTTCAGGGGTCGAGGGTTGGCAAAGGTTTCGATGCAACGCAGCCTTTCGCCGTCCATGTCACTATCATCAGGTTCATGGCATCACGAATACACTAGCTCAGACGACGACACAAGCTCGGTGGAGGCAGATTACTTTGAACAGAAAAATCGCGTAGTTTTTCCACCGCTTATGCCCACTGTGCAAGATCGTCAGGTATTTGAGCGAGAGAGGAAACATATCACGGACTCTATTACGGACAAAGTCTCTCGGCTTGAGAACTCACGGAGCTCCGTACCCAGCCTCGTCGATTCTGATGCATCTTCGGTGGCGTCCATGGCATCTCTGGACGACGGTGTACAGGAGCTATGGGTACAGATGAAGCATCGTCGTCAGCGGGTGAACTTTCTAAAGCAGGACATGGCTGGCCGGCGTAAGGTTCTTCGGGACCTGCGTCGCAGAAAGGATGAAGCCGACAACAACTTCATGAACATGTTGCGCCCAATTCTTGTCAAGGGTCGGCGTGGTCTATCTGCAACATCTGACCAAACGTTGGAGACACGATTTGCCGAGATGCAGGCACTTCGAACGGAATACCACACCTTCGAAGTTGACTACGAGGAACTTGAGGTCTCGCTGGATGAAGAAGAGGAAGGCCTCAACAATACCGAGACACGCTTCTTCAGCCTTTTGGCCGCTGGTAGCAAGAAACAACCCCGGCCAAGGATGCGAGAAGAGGATTCCGAGGATGACGAATCTGAAGAACAACCTGATATACCATATGAACTCACCGGTATTTCCCGCCACGGGCCTTCCGACGATGCCCATCCGCTTTGGCAAGACCTTGTGTCTGCCATCGGGGACCTGAACAACGCCAAAGAAGAGTACGACGATCTCCTGCTGTATCACAGGCAATACACGTACAGCATGGATGTTAAGAAATCGACCGGGATGAAGCCTAGCGCGGAAGAAGTTGAATTCATGGACGAATACCCGGAAGAGGAGCGCGAGAAGCGGGAGGACATGGATCGCCTGACAGAAGAGGTTTCCAGGCTGAAGCGGATTTGCGAAGAAAATGGTGCGATGAAGAAGCACCCGTCCTTTGAAATCGCACACGCTCTCGACCCAACTATTGGCGAAGACATGGCGCTCGACAACACTCCCCCAAGATCTGGATCCCTGGCCCATGGCCGTTTTTCCGAACTCTTATCTCGTCCAGACCATGTACTTCGGCCGGAGCCGGTGACTGCCATTGAGGAGGTGAGGCGCGCTGCGAAGATCCACGCGGCGGACCCGGCCACACTGCCGCAGCTTCGAGCGGCTCAGAAAGAGCTGGGCATTTCTAGGCTGATTAGCGAATTCAAGGAAGAGGACAAGTCGGATTTTATCACGCGGTGGCTTCTGCAACAGCTGCGTACTTCGCCGGTTGCTGTTGAACTTCTTTATTCAACGTTCATACACACTCTTCGGCTCAGGATTGGCAACGTACACAAGTGGCAGCAAGACGTTTTGTATCACTGGTGGAGAGACGATGCTGTCAAATCGCCGGAGGAATTTTTTGGTCCGCTTACAGGGAGTGGAATGGTGTCTCCGGGGCGCGAGGCTTCGCCGGAACACACGTCTCTTCCTCCGGAGCGCGAGGTGCGCATTTCTGCACCATCGAGAGCGGCGACGGAAGACTGGTCGAGTGGCAATCGTCGCATATACCCCGAGGAAGCGAGCCGGTCGACTGAAGTTTATTGATCTTGCTTAGTGAGCGCGTTTGTTTGCTTTCTTCAGTTGGGATGCTGCTGTTTTGGGTCCCAGATCCCACATGTTATTGCCTTGGAAACAGACCTGGCACAAAGGATGATAGACTGTATTTTGGATTGGAGCGATGGATCTGCTTTGTCTGGGCGGCATACTGATACCCTTTGAAGACCCAGTTTTGATGGAATGTAAAGATAACCGAGCGGGCATCTTTCGAGCTGATTGAGATTCAAGGGGTTACTCATACTGGATTATTTTGTTTTGGGGGCATGCTGTTCTATTTCTAGTTGAATACACGTACGGGGGTGGTTTTTGCCTATCTGCTAATGGTGCATCCAATTGCCCGTGACAAACCTGACACCAACGGACCATGCAGTTTGGTTTGGTTCGCTTTGTCCAGGCCAGGCTCGTTCAGCCGATGTCTGACGACGATCCAAGGTACCTACGTGCCTACCTAGTGCACCACCTCATGTTCGAGGCTAGCGCGCGGGAGCGAAAAAAAGAAGACGAACCCCACACTAATCATCTCGGGACGAGCCATGTCGACGAAGACGGTCCCGTCGCTCGCTGAAATTTTGGCGTGAATGTGACAGGTGATGTACCTGGTACATGAGCACTATCGCGCGACGGGTGATGCACTGCGTTCTACAACGGGTCTGATGCGGAGAGCGGAGCAGCAAGCGCGAAGAGGAGGAGAACCAACCTAGGAGAGGGGGGAGGGGGTTGGATGGGACGGGGGTGGGCAGGCACCGCGCATGTGATTTACGCCGATGATGCGAGCTGGGTAGCTATCGTGCCATTTCCTCCTATCCCACCCCGCTTATGGAGTACCCTTTTGATGGACTTGGTCTGGGTAGAGGTGAGGGGGGGATAATACGTGATGGTTGTTTGTTTTATCGAGCGTATCGCTACGGACACGGAGTGCGCGGTCCCCCAACGCTGGAGGAAAGATTGTGGTTGTCTGTCGTACGCGGCAACCATTTTCGAACTTTCTATGGTATGCATGCATATCGCGAAGGTTGTTGATGACGCAGGTTCGGGAGGCGGATGGAGGTCAGCTTCAGGGTTTGCGGGTATGGAATTTCGGAGGTGATGGCGCGGTGGATTCAAGTCAGCACTTTGGAATTTGAGTAGGTAGGTAGGTAGGCTAGGTTACAGGTAGCAGAAGGATTTATTAGGGAAATGCGGCAGAGCGATGAACGAATCAAGTTTGGCTTGTAGGGCTGAAATGGCGGATGGCATTTGCTTCCAATCGTGGATTTTTGGAAATTCCAATTCCTCTTTGTTTCCTACGAGGTACCATACCTGTCATATGTCAACCTACCTGCCGTATCGCCCTGAGCTGACCTTGTCTTAGGGTACCAGGGCTTTTTGAAAAAGAGAAGTACACTATGGGTTTTGATTTCATCTATACGTGAGTAGTGGTACGTAGGGCAGCATAATCTGCTTCTGATGCTGCCGTCATGGTCTTTCTATTCCGGGGGGGAGTCATCGGATGCGTCACTGGCGGGAGCTCGTCCAACGGAAGAGACAGAGGCACGGAATATCCAGGGAGACACATGATTGGGAGTTGTGAGCATGTATCTTTCCAGGTGTCTACATTGCCTGGCGGGGAGGAGAGGAGGATCGTAGCCTGCTTCCACAGGGCGACGGATGCTGCTCATAACCTTACCTTACTTACCTTACTAAGCCAAGGCAAGGCAGGCTGCCGCGCCCGTATGCAAGTCACCTCCCGCAGTCAGCGTCGGTTAAACGAACCTGCATTGCCTGTTCTATCCTGCGGACAATACCTAGATACTGTATAAACGTAGACGCATCGTGAAATGCCCTGCAGGCCTTTCTTGAGTAAGCGCTACGACGGCCACAGACAGCCCTACGAAGAGCAGTGGTAGACTCCTAGGTACTCTCTTGCTTTTAGGGGGTTAGTTGGTTGGTTAAGTAGAGCCTGTTCTATCCTGTCCTGCCTTGTCTTGTTCTTGGCACTGGTCCTCTTGATCGAACCTGGCGTCGGCTCGGCTTGTAGGCATGAGTGAAAGCCGTATGGTATGGGGGTATGGGGTGCCTAGCCGTACTTATCGAGAAGAGGGAAACCTGGGGGGAAAAGTCCCTGCAGGT